TGAGAACAGATGTTTTGTAAAGACCCCACACAGTCCTGACTGTGGAACACGGTGGGGACAGCGTTGTGTTGTGGGGATGTTTTTCTTCAGGAGGGACAGAGAATCCGGCTACAGATGATGGGAAGGCGGATGAGGCTAAATTCTGGAAAACACTGGAGGAAAAGCTGTTTGCAAAAGACTAGAAACTGGGGTTTAGATCAAGGTGTCCAACTCCAGTCGTGCAAAGCTACTACCCAAAAGTTACAGGATGTTAGCTCTTAAGGAATACGGTTGGACACCACTGGTTTAGATCAAATCTTATTCGTGTAAGAAGATGGCTCAGTCAAAGTCTAGATCTAAGTCCAGTTAAGAATCTGTGGTAACTGTTAAAATCATTTAAAAAATATATTCAGCCACATTTACTCTCAGACCACTAAGTAAAATGTAACAAAACAAACTAAGAGGTTATATTTTTCCATTCAGTTTTCTCAAACAGAAATGCATTATCCCAATGAGTGGCCATTATTCCAATGCTAATGGATGGTAATTAAAGGGAGATTGGCTCACCAGCAACTCAAAGCAGCAGGGTTACTAAATAAAATAATAATCATGTCGAAAGTACAGGACATCCCCTAAAGACACTGGAGATTCCAGGTTATTGGTTGGGGAAAAAAACTTCCATCTGATTTTAATTTGAAACTCATTTTGTTTATGGGCAACATTGGTCATCAAAGGTGTAAAAGTGGAAGACTAGGGGAATAAAAAAAACAAAAACAAAAAAAAAAACGCTTCTCTGCTTAGTCACAGAACAAAGTCATTAGTGTTTGAAGTTTCCAGAGAAAAACATTTTAAATGGCTGTTTTTTTCCTTGAAACGACAAAGTGACTGGACAAAAACACGCGCACCAGCATAGTCACTCCCCACAGACACCTGCAAACCCAAATACTTCCTCACATTTTTGAGAACCAGCCAGTTGATCATAAGGCCTGATATCATCTCCACAGCTGTTTGTGACAGGCGGTTGGCTGCTGTCATGCGCCTGAGTCGTCACACACAGACTGTCAAAGAGCCACAACAAACAGCAGTGCTGATAAGACTGAAGGGTTAAACTCTGGGAAACGCACCGTCCAACTCCTGCTACTGCCGGGGTTTTTTGTGTTGCTTTTTTCTTTTCCTCGCGTTAGGCCTCCCAGCTCGTTGCTCGTCATATAACTGGAATGCAAATCCCATGTGAGGCAGAGTTCACGCCTCATCTTTTCCGTCTTTCCAGAGATAAAGGACAGGAAACTAGAAGCCATTTCATGTCAAAGTGACCAGTTGCATAGAGCAGTGAATGACCGCAGCAAAGGTGCAGAAATAATGTCAGCTTTTAGGGTTAATTGAAAACCAACATTTGTTTGAAACTAAAAACATATTAAAAAGACAAATGTATCTGTAATACGAAGGCAGCAGTCCCTCCACCAAAGTGTTTTAGGGTGGAAAGTAAATTTGTTTTTTCTCCTCTTTTGCCTGAGGCATTTCAAATCTTAGTGACATCTGGTTCAAAACGATTTCAGGAAGTTGACAACTTTTTCAGTCAGGTAAAACTGGTTTCATAGACAAGGAAACAAACACAACACAACATGTATTCATAAGAAACTACTAAATTACAGTTACTGTGCTTACTCCTAAAGAATAATAAACGTACATTACCTTAAAAATAGGCAACTCTTTGAGAGAAAAACCCTCCTCCTTTGATTGTCAAACCTATTAAAAGATGACTAAATAACCCAGTTTGGGTTCTATTGCTAAACTGAGAAATTATGGACCAACTCAGACATAGGTTGATTAAAAACGTTCATTCCAAAAATTAGCTAAAGCAGATCTTGCAGACATCTTTTGCATTGAAAGTAAATCAAAGAATATGTTGGAAACATGCATTTATATTTAAAAATTTTACAAACGTTTCAAAAACGCAGTGCTTATATGCATTACTTGCAAAGCTTTATTTTAAGAAAATGGAAGAGACACTTTGTTTCTCATCATCAATCAAATGCTTAATCAAAGCATTTGATTAAATGCCTTGATTACACATTTAATCAAACTCAAAGAAGAATAACTTCCTGAGAGGAAAATTTGTTTCGGAAAGGTTCGGCCAGAATCCAGAGATACAACCTGAACTTAATAGAAACAACGAAAATATTCCATTTACAGGAATTATTTGAGAACATCCAGAAAAGAGAAACGTGTTTATTGTATCCGAATATTCTTTTGTAGAGTCAAATAATAGCACATATACAAACTGTGAACAGCATAATTAAAAACTGAAAAATCGATAGAATATTTGGCATCACAAATCAGACCCTTCAGTTTCCTTTTAATCAAGAAGTGTTTTAGCCTCTGCTGAATTATTTGTCATTAATCTTCTAAAAAGAAAACCCTTCAAGCAAGCTACATTTTTTTTTCTCACTTAAAAAGCTTTTATTGCAGTCTGAATTCCTTACTAGTCAAGTCTACAATAATAATCCATCCTTTGAATCATTGATAAAGTATTTCAGTTTTTTTTTTAATTTTTTTAATTATTTCTTTAGTCTTTGTCACTGTAAAGTATGACCTGTTTCCCAACATTTTATTGAACAAAAAAATATGTTTGGCCTCATTAAAATATGAATGAATGCTCAAACATTGGCCAGGCTTTTTTATTTTATTTGAAAAACAGTTTGACAAAAACTTCAAATTGTTTTAGAATTTTTTCTGAGAGAGAGTTATAAACATCTGTAAGGAATTAATCCTTACAGATTATTCTTTGATATAGTAATTTCGGATCAATTAAATAAGTCAATAAAGCATGATAAACTATTAATGGTGCCACCAGTAAAAAAAAAACCTAAATTCATCTCATACTGCAGCAGCATAACCTCATAGCATACAACTGAGAAAAAAATGTATCACTAATTTGATTAGTGTGGACAAGTATTGATACCTTGCTGATAATACTACATATATCCTTCCTTACTCAAATACAAAGACAAAAACCAATTTTGAAGAGCGACTCATTAAATTATAATTGTGGCGTTACCCCTCGAAAAAAGAAAAATCCAGTGTTGAGTCACAAAAGCGCAAATACAGTTTATTGATGTTGTTTTTATTAACACCAGTAATAAGAATAGCCTTTAACTCTCTTGTGAGATGTGCAGTAATACGTCAACATAATATAGAAAAGAAAATGGCAACATTTTACATTCATGACCACAATTCATAATAACAACCCCTTTCCAAAAGGGGCAAGTCAGCAATAACGACTGTGATTGGTGGCTTTTTTGTAAACAACGTGATTTAAATGTTAATAAATCCATGAGGTCACCCTCTGAACATTACCCATCATCGTCTTCAAGACAGCCTCCATGCCATTTAAAGCACTTCATGATCGCTAACAGGAAGAAGAAGCAGGAATAACTTCTCTGCAAAGCTGCTGGAAGGCTGTTTAAAGGAATCTGTGGTACATTATAGCAAAGTTTTGCAGATGTTACAATCCTGTGGGTGTCACTCAAAGGCTCCTCCAGGGGAAATCCTCTTCACACCTGAGGCAACATTAATTTATTGTTTCTCCCTGGATGAAGCCTAAACGACGGGCTCACTGCTCCACTTTCCTCGATGCGTTTTTGGAAAATGGTCGCAACAGTAACTTCAGTTTACAATCACACGTATGCGTGAGTTTCATTGTGTTGACGTGAAAAGCTACATTCATGTGGACTCGTTGCTCGACTCGTGTGCCTTTTCGTGTACTCAGTGTAAAGATGGCGGGGGGAGCTACAGAAAACAGCTCAAAACACCAAGAGTGGAATTCCAAGCAAAATAGAAAAAGTGATCCGAAAATAACTTGATCTACAGCGCTTTGCAAAAATATTCTTACCTCCTGCGTCTTGAGGGCATGTTGTTACACCATTCAAAAACTTTGGTGTATTTTATTGGAATTTCCCTACTATAACATAATACATAATTGTGTAGTGGAAGGAAAATGATTGACTAATGTTTGCAGTTGGTTGGGTTGGTATGTAGATGTTAAACCTGACCTGAATCACGGGCAAAACTTCTGCAAAGACAAATGGGCAAAAATTCCAGGGTCAGGAGTGGATAACTAGTAAAAGCTTTAGGTTCCGCGAAACTAAAACGTCTACATAATTATACACTGCTTTGTTTTGACATAACCCAAAATATACCAATAAAACACACTCAAGTTTGTTGTTGCAACTTGACAGTATGAGAAACATTTCAATAGACAGGAATTCTTCTGAAAAGGACCGTATCTTTGGTGAAACTGCTACTAAATAAATTCAGTACTTTACTCGCAGATATTTTACAATTAATGGTGCTAATGTGCAAATGTTGATGCTCTTTCTGTTCAAGAAAGAGAACTTGTAGGATGGGAAACTAGGAGGAGCCCTGTGGTGATGCTAGTGTTTGTCACATAAACACACTCTGGGATTTTTTTTTTTACCCCCCTCACAACAAATATGTTGTGACCTCTATATGTAAAGAATTGCTCATGCAAAGATAATATTGCTAAATATTTAGAACAAAAACATTCTTTTTTTTAGTTTTTGGGCAAACAAAAGCTAAAGACAAATGTTTTTTCCACTACTTCTTCAACACAAAGAGTTTGGATTCGATGTCAAAAAGACTCTCAGCCTCTAAATACGCATATTACATTTGACATTCACACAATTATACCATTGTGAGAACCCAAAAATATTTTTAAGAGTCCAAGTTCAAGTTCTGTGAAAGACGCCCCCAGTTCGCTTTTTGACCGGTCAGAGTCTGGGAACCCAGTGATGACCCCATGGTGACCTCCCCGGTGCCTACGAATCCTGTGGAAGAATGCCAAACCAGCAGCAGACTTGAACCTGAAGTGGCTCCAGATCGACAAGGCGCCTGGTGATTGTCTGTTGTGCTCCGAGGAGAAAGCAGCCTCTTGACCTCCGATCCGCCTGACTGCAAGCTGCCCTCGTTGCAGATTCATGCGATGGCTGAACGTCAACAGCAACGCCCTGGTAAGGCAGTGTTCAACATTGCACCAAATGAAAAGTTCAAGTACAAAAACAAAAGGAAAAATAAATTCTTGTTATAGATAGTGAAACTAATAGTAAAGTAATAACCCCTCAGGACTGTTTCCGGAAGGTGAAAATATCCCGTTTTTTGGAGCCTCTCTTGCCGTCCGGCGTGGGCGTGTGGTTTGGAGAGGACGACGGCGAGGGGGAGGAGGGTTGTGGGGTGGAGGTGCCTCCATAGGGGCAGCTCAGGGAGTCTGGGTGCTCTCCTGAACACTCCACCGTGGGGATGTAGCGGCTGTCCCACATCCCCGGGCCGCAAAGCTTGCAAAGGTCGTGCAGGCTGCAGGGGATCCTGGGAAGAAGGCGGAACTGGTAGAGGAGGCTGCGGGCCTGGAAGAGAGGGACAAGCGCGATGAGGGGAAGCAAGCTCAAGGAGAGACACTTTGGCCTGTCAGAGAAAGCAAACATTGCAGATGCATGCATTGAAATAAATCAATGCTCCCGTTATCTCTTGGCTGCAAGATAACGAAAGAATGTCAAGGTCAGTCTCATGGAGTTATTTTTTTTCTTTCTCAAAAGCTTGCATGCCCGCTGCTGGGTTATCATATGCAGAATTCTCAAGCATCAACAAAACACGTTACGACAGCTGCATACAAACAGAAATTTGCAGCACAAACAGCATCCATAAAGATGAGGCAACAGGAACAGCGACTGCAGCGAGCGAGCAGATCATTAATCCTCTGCATCCTATTCTTACTCTGCTGCAGCACCGGGCAGGACTCTTCAGTGCAGACTAAAGTGAATTAAAATTTTATCAGGAAGAACTGTTGCAGATGGATAGATGTCTGATCATGTTTATTGACTTTTATAAAGAGATGTGAATCGAATCAACCCAGGATGGGTTGATTCTGGAAAAAAGGAAGGCTGAACTGAAATGTTTGTGATTATTTTCAATACTTCTATTTATGTTTTGATGCTAGATTAAAATGAGCACAAAAAGAACTGACAGAGGCTTTATTAATTCGCTGGATTGCGAGGAATAATCAGATTTCTTTGAACAAAAAAATATATATATACATATATCAAAAACAGAAGTTTGATCCCCCACTTTTAAAATGCCAACTTACAAATGGATGGAACTTTTTTTGAAAACTGAATAGAAAGTCAAGTGTGGAAACTTGTAGTTTCCCGGTCAGCTGTTGAATGAAACAACAAAGAAGAGACAAAACCTGCTGGGTTTACCTTACGCAGCACCAGCTCTCCGTTCATGTGCATGGAGAGGTTGCTGAAGTGGAGCAGCATTTGGTCGGTGGCGAGCTGCTGCTCCGTCACGTCCTCCCCGTACAGGACAATGATGGCCACGCACAGGAAGAGGTGGAAGTAGTCTGTCTACAAAGACGGAGAGTGGGGTCAAAGGCAGAAGATGAATGGAGCAGGATGTGCACACTTAGTACCCGACGTCCTGTCAGACGGATTCGATTCAGCTCATGTAGTTCCTGACACTACCAATGGGCTTTAATAAGAATAAAGAATAATAGAATAAAATAAAGACTTGATAGATGTTAATGACTAAAGTTGAGTTTTTACCTTCTGATTGGGCTAGTGTGATCCTTTTACTTCTATTATGTAGCAGATCTGAGAATGGGACATTTTCTCTCTGCCTCAAAAAAGATTAATAGTTAACAAGAAATTTTAAAAGGAAACTACAAGGTCAGTTGAATCTACAACTTATTTCTTTTCTACATAAACATTAATATTAACATGCTATAAAACATTTATTGAGGACTGATTTTAACCCAGACAAGCTTGATTAAATCTGCACACATTTATCTTAGGAGCAGAGTTATGTGGCAGGCTTGTGGGGAACGTTGAACGTCTAAGCACATTTTGGATTGTTGACTCGCTGCATGATGGAGTTTGTAGTTTTATTTAACAGTAACTACAAATTACAGAACAAATAACTGCACTCAGCTTAATGAACCAATACAGGGAGAAAAACATGAACAACCACAAAAATGTGAAAACTAAAGAAACAAAGAAAATCTAAGACCGAGTAGAGAAAATGTATTTATTTTATTGGTACAAATAGCTGTGTGTATTTTATCAGTATCTCAGTTTACATTTTGCTCCTTTAAACCAACCTGATGACAGTTGCTCTGCAAACTCTAATTCACACAAAAACAGCAGAAAACAATCAGCTGCCACCCAGTGAGAGACGAAACATCCTCTTCACAGAAAAATCTGATATCAATCAGAAATTCTTACTTAAAGCTCAACTGCTGCATGACTTTTAACTGTCTAACCCGAGGTTTCACACACACACATTATCTGCTCTATCGCCACCTGGAGCAGCAGATACGAACATCTCACAGGGTGTTTGAACAGATGGCGTGAAGCAAAGACATTTGACTCGGCCTCAGTGAGTGGGAGTGTTAAACACGAGGAACGCATCGTGGCTACAAGTTTCCAGCGCTTCAAAAGAACTGCACCGAGTAAAATATACCCAATGCAATCACCCTTAAATTAAATGACATTTTAAAAAAAACTAACATGGTTGCATAGTAGGCGGCAAAAATGTGAAATATGCAAAGTCTTAAATCCAACAGGTTTTTAACAATGGAATAAAATTTCTTTAAACACGAATAGACATTTTTACATTCACTCAACAGGATTATAAGTCGGGCCTTGAAAGAACTTGTCCTACTTTTTCCTTGCAGACAATAGTTTTATTTCATTCCTGCACACTTCCTGGAAAAATCATCACACTCTAAAGTGGCTAAAAAAAATAATTACCACTACATTCCTTCGTATCGCTTACCAGCGTATGCAAACCTCATCTTTCTATTTTGTGTATGTGGAGGATCAGTTTGGACTTTGTCCTGACCTGGTAGTGTGCCCAGCAGGCCTCCCACATGCGCAGCGCCTCGGTGTCGGGGAACTCTCTCTTGAAGCAGAGCAGGATCCAGCGGTGGCAGAACAGCAGCTGCAGGCCATCCTCTCCCAGGCGGGTCAGGTGCTGGTGGAAGCGCGGCAGCATGAGGCGCAGCAGCTCCCGCAGGTACATCTGCAGATCGAGAAGTTATTTTCCTCTGTTCCGCTCAAAATCCAACCAAGTTGATGGTCAGAAACGTCGGCTTGTTGAACAGTTTATATGTCTGCACATGATCATTCGCGATTTAGCAGGTTGAGCTCAGAATCCTCAATGTGCCCACAAACTATGGTGTTGTCTGAATGTGTCAGACATCATGCAGACCGTTTCTAAGTTGTTTCAAGTTACCTAAATATATTCTCTCTCAAAAAAAAAAAATAAGTAAAATAATTCTTTTTAGCAGTGTTAAATGAATTTCTTGGCACTTTTGATAAAAATCATTTATCATCATGTACTTTTCAGTGATTATTTAAGCCTATGCAGCCACACTAAATTAAACTGGCACAGATTTGTGTCAAAAGTGTCACATTTGCAGATCAACTTCACATTCATTAAAGCAATGCCCCGATCGGGTAATCACTTATTGATGATTTCATTTACAAAACTGTGAAAAATTTTACAATTTCACATTACAAATGTTAGCTGGAATATACAAACATTGCAAATAAATTAATGAAACTAGACAAAATTGCTCATTTGAACTATTTCTGTTAAACTGTTTTCCGTCACAAACTCTAACTTTAGGCCAAAGCTTCAAATTTAGTTAGAAGCACTAAGAAAAACACTGAAAACCTCATTGTAGACTTTAAAGGTTAAAGAGCTACTATAAACATGTGAATCATTTACTATTCACATGAGGGTTCTTTAAAAAAACACACTTAACAGCTAAAGTACAAAGTCTGGAGAGGAGACAGATTTGATGGTCCGTTAGATATGATGAAAAGGGTGTTAAATGTTTAGTGTTTTCATTCCCTTTTAGCTTTTCACATTTTCAGCTTTTCAGACACATTTTAGATCTGTGGGCAGCGACTCTCGGGGTCTAGAGTGCGAGACCTCAGTGTTAGTGGCTGCTAAAGACATAAAATTGTGGCTGAGGTTCACCTTCCAGCAAATAAATGAAAGAAATCTTGAAATTGCTGCTCACAGATTAAGTTAGTCTAATCTGATTGACCTTGAACTATTCTTCAAAGAAAAATGGGGGAAAAGTTTTGGTCTCAAAATGTGTAAAGACAAGAAGACATGCAGCAGGAATTGCAGTGAAAAGTGGTAGCACTGCACAGCACACTTTAATTTTTATCTTTTTATAAAATACACCCTGAAATACACTGATGTTCACACAAAGTGAAAACCACCAACAGGTTCGAATAGTTTTGAATGGCAATGAATAGACCTGTCACTATAACTAATTTTGCTGGACGATCAATTATCTCAGAACTTATCACGATAAACTATAATATTGTTGTTTTGAGACAATTTCCCATAATAGCAATAATGGCATAATAACGTGAGAACACATTCTCAAGGATCAGCAACTTTAAATTCTAGTGTACATTTAAACACAGGCACTGAAAGACTTTGGAAATATCCAAAATAAATACAGAAAACAACAGAAACAACAAATAAAATGTATTATGAAGTCCGTGTAAATAAAATTATCTTTAAAAAAAAGAGATAGATGAGACCAAAACACCAGACTGAAAGACTTTTATCATTCTATTTTTGGTAGAAAGAGAGAAAAGAGAAAAACAATAAATCAAGCAAATGAAAGTTAGAGTTTTAATGCGATTAACTGATTGATTTATTGTTCATCGCGACAAGCCTAGCAGTGTATGTTCTATACAGAAACTGCTGCTGGCGGCGAGCATAAAGACTCTCCTACCAGCTGCCTCTCCATGTCTTCGTCACGCGGGGAGCTGATGAAGATGGTGTTCTCCATGAGGCCGACGAAGCACCAAAACGTGTCGCTCTCGTCTTGGATCTCAGTGAGCAGGGGGGCCACCAGGTCGGACATGCCCTGGCAGTAACCCATGTCGGGATTAAACACCGCATAGTTGAGCAGAATCCGCCTGGGGCAAGAACAAACACACACTTCTGAGTTCTGACGTAACATCTGCCGACAGAGCTTCTAATGAAGAGGGCCAAACAGGAGAGGAAGCCCTGAAAAGTTTTCCTCCAACCCAAACACTGTCAATGTCTTTCATTGGGGAAAAATAACACAACAATCGCCCCTCCCCACACTTTTTTCCTCTTCTTGCAACCAGGGATCTAATTACTGGCATTTCTTTCTTCCTTCTTTTTTAAGACCTGTTCTACTTTGAAGAAAACTTCCCCGGTCGTCTTCATGCATTAGTAACAAAAGAACAAACAAAGCCCAAAACCCAGAGGACATTACACTGTTCTAGTGCAGCATTAGAGTAAAAAATTGATGAGTTTCTTCTAAACAAGGACATCAGGACCTTCAGCTCCACACCAGTTTAAAAGTAAATGAACCAGACAAACATGGGCGTGACTTATCAGCACTACAAAACCACAGGCTGGCTTCAGATGCAGAATCACTCCCCGACAAACACCAGGAGTCTCAACAAGAGTTGCAAAAATAACTAATTCCCTATTTAAATCCTCTTGCTCCTCGTTTAGAAAGCCATTAGCCGCAAGTACAAGTCGAAAGTGCTCAGACGGCTTAGTCAAAGTCAATAAAGCATGAAACTCATTTGCGGCTCTGAATATGAAATAAATGTTGTCGGTGAGGCTGAGCGTCGAGTGGACGGGTGGGAATGACAGAGGGTGATAAACAAAAGGGGCAGCGTGTTGGAAAACCTCATGATCTCCACGTTCGGGTTGTTCTCTCCTCTGAAGAAGTGGTTGCTGCGGTCCGTTCTGACCACGTCTTTATCCACCGTGAACTGGACTTTCCTCCAGAACTCGCTGTGCTCCTCTGGGCTCATGGATAATCTGAGGAGTCAAGCAAATGGAGCAGGAACCGATTATGAAGGGGGGGGGGAAACGGATGCTTAATGCACTATAATCATCATAAACACATAGAAATGACTGTGCTGCTATTCTACTCCTAATAGCTGCTGCAGAAGGTCCCCAAAATATATGAGCAGTGGACTCAGGCGTTCCTTGGAGGATCCCACCACAGCCATCCATCCATCCTGATGTTAGGGAGCACATTACCAGTGTTCTCCGTGTGTACTAATGTACTCAGGTCCTAACAAGCAGAGGGGATTTAATTAACACTGTTTGTTTTCCATACGGCCCCACCAGGAATAAAGCCACCGCACCTGATGCAACGCCACGCAACTGTTTGGTTTGAGATCTGTGTGTTTGTGTTGCTGGACCCTCCCCAGCCACCGTCCTACGCTTTGCTTTCTCTGGAGGAAGCCGCTCAGGAGTTTGGAACATGTTTGCACCACTTGAGTGGTTTTATGGGTTGTGCCGTAAAATAAGATCCAGGCTCCTGAAGAGCACAGATTAGCTCAGCAAACTGCCTTGCAAACGTGTCCCTACACTTTAAACTTTTTGTGACGCTGCAAACATTAACTATTGTATATGTTAAAGGGGCAAACCAACACAGAGCAGTGTATCTCTAGGAAAAGGAAGGAAAATGATCCAGTTTTTCCACACACATAAAAAAAAAATCTTAAACATGTATGAGATTGAAATATTTTGCCAAGTATCTCAAACTCTGACAGAAGGAATGAAGCCTGAACAGCAATTTTTAAACTTTGTTAAAGGATCTTAATTGGATTTATGCATGGACTTTGACTGGGCAGTTCCAACACATAAGAATACTTTAATAAACCATTCCATATAGCTCGGGATAAGTGTTTGAGTTTGTCACTTTTCTGAAAGGTTTGCTTCTTGTATTTCATCCTGCAACCTCTTCTGTCTTCCCATAATTTTTGACCAGATTCCCTCTTAACGATGAAGAAACCGATCTCCTCAGCATGATGCTACCACTGCCGTCTCTCACAGTGGGGATAGAATGTAACAGCTGGACAGGAAATATTTATCTCCTCCACACTCATTGCTTTATATGTGGAGCCAAACGGTTCAGTTACATCAGGTGACTTCTGATGGCACTTGGATGAACTTTCTTATATCAGAGTAAAATGGGTCTGGATACAAATGTATGCCTTAGTTTTTGGATTTTTATTTGTAAAACTAATGTAAATCCTTCCACTGCACAATTATCTGAAACTTCATGTTGGTGTGTCTCATAAAACTCAAGTAAATGGATTGGAGTTTGTAATCTGATAAATCCAAAGGATACAAATTCCGTAAAAGGGATTGTCAGATATGGATAATAAAAATATACAATGCCTTTCTCTATATGTCTTAGCAATTTACAATATTGATAATGGAACAAATTCACCCATAAAATACTAAAATATGATCTTAGATTGATGCATGACTATTCAGAGATGTAATTTATTCCATCTAACAAGCTGAAATTAAACTATTATGACCCACCCAAAAAGACTAAATAATAGTTCATAAAGGTTTTAACAGATTATCTTTAAAGAAAATCTATTGGAGGTGATTCAACTGATCATTTTCTGTCAAAACTGACAGAAAATGTCTGTTTTGACATTTTCGAAACTGACATTTGAAAATGTCTGTTTTGACATAAGATGTTCTAATCCTAATGTTCATAAGAAAATTAGGATTGGAAAATAAAAATCTCAATCTGTTAGAAAGGATGTACTCTTACTGTAACCTGGAATTTACATTTCAAGAAAAAATAAAACCTTTCAGAATATTTTTTGGAGATAAATAAAATATTATAATTACAGACAATATGGCTGAATTTGTTTTTTGCATTTTTCACAAGTGAAACATGAAAACCATCACAGAAACCGAAAAAACGACAGTGAAAATCTTTTTGTCATTTTATTAAGACATACGTTCTGCCTGAAAAATAAAGCTCTTCTTCAGCAAACCAGATCTCCTTTGTCAAAGGCACAGAAAGAAACATCTTAAGGTGAGAAAAAAACAAAAGATATACAATAACTTTCCAAGACGAAATCTGTATACATTTACCAAATGAAGTAACCAGTAAGGAGTCCTTTGTCAGATAATTATTTACAGAGAAAAGGAAATCAGATAAAGAGTTTCAAACAGGAATGTTTTTATTATTATTTATATAAAACAAGAAAATGAAGAAGATAGGAACTGTGACATTCAGCTGAATCCTTCTGCATTTCTCTTTTACATTTAAAATACTTACTTACAAGTGAACATACCTTCCTCTTCTCTGAAACAAATGTGACTCATATTGGAGCAGTTAAATTCCAGACAAACATCATTATTTTACTGATTCTAACAAACTTAAATATCCAGATTATATCCAATGGAAGCTGCACTCCTACGTGTAGCTGCTGAGTTCTTGTTAGAATGAGGACACAAGGTGGGGGGACAAGGTAAAGCCCACACACTCGCCTCCTTGCTCCTAATGATCAACCAGTGGCCCTGGAGGGCTGCCGGAGGCTCTTTAAAGGAATCAACATCAGCGTCAGAATGAAGAGTCTAATTAGGCGACTTCTGGTGCACTCAAAGCGATAATAGCCTGTACAACTGAAATCTGTCCAATTATCATCATTGTAGCACACAGAGACGTAGAAACCTATAACATGGAAACCTTAACCCTGAGATGGAGTTGTGTGGATAAATAAAGACTCTGGGATCTGGGTCAGTCTGTGATTACCGAAGTTGTGGTTTTTCCCTCCCCTCTCTCTGACATGTGAGCATGATCTGATCTGATAAGCACCGACATGTTTTCTCTCCAGAGACCTTTTATATCACACCCAGCACCTCCCCTTAACACTTCTCTGATTGTGCCTATTGATCGCTCCATGCCTGCGATGGGAAGCCACAACAGACTCACATATGGTTTAATGTTTTACCGACTGAGCTTTTGGCAGCCAACGCTCCAGCCGAGTGTCTCAGACATGATTTCCATGTTATCGAGCTGAGGTGCAGATGTTATCAGCAGGAGATCTTCAAGTAAAATAAACATTTACAGGTGCGTCTTTATAAATTAGAATGCAAGTCCCTCATTACATACACGGTGACATTTTTCTGGTCTTTAATTGTGTTCATTCTGATCTTTATGGTGTACCCCTAACAAAAACCCAAATTTTGTTTCCTAGACATAAGACTAACAGAAATATATTTTAATACAGAAATTATGAGGAAGCCTATTGACTTGATAATTGTCAAACACACAACCTACAAAAGGAAGATTAAGTCACAAAGGAAATTGGATGATGAAAGTTTCTAAGCTTTTAATTGAAAGTTAAGTGGAAGGAAAAGCTGAGGAACAAAAATGTGTTACGACAGCACGATGGAAAACACTGTGACGCAAATGCAATTAAAGAATTCACAAAACCATTACCTGAGGACCAGTTGGCTTTTTTCAGACGCACAACACACAAAACCATTCAGGAAGTGGGATACAGGTCTTGCTTTCATTGTGTTAAATCCAACCTGAACCAGAAAACGCATAAGCCATGTCTTAATGCCATTACCAACCACCACTCATTTTAATGAACAATGGGTAATGGACCATGGGAGGTGCCTGGTTGACAATCATTGTTGCTAGTTGTGGCAGATGTTCGATATTAAGTTGGAACTTAAAAAAAAAAAAAAAAGAAATGTCTTGTCCATTTCAGTTTGGTCCTATTTTATGACCTGCTTTCATTTTTTTATTGCTGACTTATTCAGAAACACACCAGTCCTCTCAGCATATGGTTCAGGGGTTTTCTGCAGTGGTGCAAAATACAAGTGGAGCCATGAATGAATAAATCTGGACATAAACCAGAGGAAAAAAACATTTCACTGAGGATTACTGATGTAGCCCAATGACCTGCATGGAAAGTGGAAGTTCCCATGTAGTAGTTATTTATCCAGTTAAATTACAATTTACAATCAAATAATTGTAAATTGTAATTTTGTAATTGTAATTTGAAAGACTGACTGACATTTTGTTTTATAGAGAGAGAACTACCTTATGCAAACTTGACATTCAGTTTCATTTTGGTTAGCTTGTTGCCCTGTCACAATAGAAGATTTTACTGAACAATAAACCGTCCTACTAATTACAATGATAACATTGAGACCATTTTCAAGTAACATACTGATAATGGCATAATTACGCAAGTTTGCCCTCTCAAAGACCAACAAACTTTTGTTTTGTAAAGAACGCTTAACACTGGAACTGAAAGACATTTTTAAAGCACAACCAAAACTATAAATCAAAAGGATTAGAACATCTCTGTAAACAGATTTTAAAAAGTTTTAATGATCAGAATGAGAATTATCAAACTCATTTTAATTTATCATGCAATTAATTGATTATTCAGCTGATCGTATCCATCCCACAGATTAAGGAAACAGTATTTTATGCTAAAGGCGCCCAGACCAAGTATTGAGTCCATCAGCTATGCAGTACATGGTCATACCTCTCAATAAGGGTATTTTCATATCAATCTTAAACTATGCATAATGTTTCAGGCAGACTTCTAAAAGAATTTTCTTCTTCCTTTTTACTCGTGTAAAGAAAGAGTTGTAAGAGAATGTGTTTTTAAATTAATAATGAAATTTGATTGATTGATTGATTATGTGGCATTTTTTCGTTGCCCACCTTCTCTGCTGGATGTCGTGGTAGTGAGCTCGTTTCTGCAGCCTCCAGGCCTCCCTTTCCTGAGAGCTGGAGTCGTAGCTATAGTAGTGCAGCAAGAAGGGCCACACCTCGCCTCTGATGGACGGGTCGATGCCGCCAAAGAAGATAGCCTGTCGAAGAAGCAACAGGTGGGTAAATACGGCAAACACCAAGGAAGGGCCAGGCTCTGTTGACATTTCTAGCTTGCATGTCTTATTCCCTGCATTACGTTGTGAAAAAAGAAACCAATGAGTGTTTATTCAGCACGTCAAGCAAAAACAGGACTCTTCGGTTTCCTTATTTGAACTTCTACTGAAAAAAAAAGTCTTGGTCATGGTCTAACTGCCACTGAGTCACTACAGTAGACGGGTAAACCAAACAGTGACTCAATTCCAGAGAACGCAAATGACTCAGAGGGGGTACACTGGCAGGGACAAACCCTCCCATTATTTACAGGCCAAGATCATGATTTTAACTGAAACTGAGAAGCTTGCAAGCTGAATTTCATTATGACTTGACTAACAAATATAAAAGAAATAGGTGTGAAAATGGTCACTTTCGTCAGTAGTGAAACATGGTCTGACTTGGTTTCTCATCCATACGATGTAGAGAGAAGGAGCCCCGACTTTCTAGAGTTTAGAAGATGCATAAAATGTAAGGAAGGGAGGAATAAAATAAAATAAAATAAAAGAGTTAGGACTCAAGAGAGGTAGGGTGGACACAAGAAAGCAAGAAGAGGACAGAGAAAATAAAAAAACAAGGTGTGGAGTAAATCAGGGTGGAAAGAAAGAGTCAAGGTAAGACTAAAGGAGAGAAAGGAAAGAAAGACAAAGGAGAAGGACAAACATGAGAAACAAAGAAAAGATAAAAGAAGAGCTTGAGGGAGGGAGGGAAAGAAGATACAAAGAAGAATAGAAGAAACAAATAAAGAAAAAATAAGGAATTAATGAAGGACACAAAGAAGGAGGGATAAGATCGGAGATAAAGTCCAAACTATTTGTCCAGGCTTGTATGTTCCTTATTCAACCTCACCCAGAAATGGGAAAAAAAACACGTCCATTGTCTACGTTCGCTCATCCTTGCAGGATGTTTGGGTAGGGCTATTTTTTTCTTTTGGACTGTGTGAGGAAGCCAGAAAACCCGGAGAGAACCTAATGCACTCAAAGCAGAAACACCCACAGCTTCAGACTCGAACTCAGAACCTTCTTGCAGCATGGCAGCCTTTGGTGGCAAATGTTTTCCGCAATTTCCTGGAAAACACTGAAATCATATTTCCAGACTCTTCAAAAGTGTGTATGAACCGTGTATTTACCTTCCGCAGCTTGTACTCTTCCTCCACCTGCCCGCTGTGGTTGATGTGACGCAGCCAGGCGGCGACGTCCACTCGCCTGTAAAGCCTCTCCTCGGGGTGCGTCTCGGCTGATGGCAGTGTGGGCCTCTGGATGGAAAACTGCATGCAGGACTTTTCATCCGACACCTGCACACAGAGTGAGGAAGAGGAGTAAAAAGCTCAATCAACGTTTTACCAACAAAAACCCAAAAGAGAGGTTGACCTTCGCCTAAGTCTGACCTGGTCTTTAGGTTGGGTTTCCCTGCAGCATTTCCACTGCTGGAAGACCTCAGCCAGTTTGTCCAGACCAGCATGATGGAAGTGAAGGATCTTATACTGGCTCTCCCTGCTGGCTATCACAAGCTGACCACTAGTGCACGCGTCATCACTGCAATAAACCAATAAAAGATGCAAAGACAAGTTCACAAGGGGTTCAACTTCATGACCCTGTAACAATCCCCCCAGGGGATTTTTTTCATTTGCTCCCTGCTGACCTGAAGAAGAGTCTCAGCGACCTCATGTGACCCAGGTCCACCCTGAAGACTCCACACAGCTGCTCCAGAGCCAGCAGCTTCTGTTGCTCCTCCCAGCGCATGGCCTGCGACTGGCCGCCGCCCTCGGACAGGGCATGGCTGTCCAGGCTGGACGCAGAGCTCACAGAGTGGTTCATGGACTCCTCACACAGTTCCCTGTGAAAACATGCCCAAGATTTTAACGAGTTTCCCACTGTGCCTCATATGTCCCTCATAAAGATGTCCATACTCATTGAACATTTCCACACATTGCTGCATTAAAACCACAAACTTTAATGTCTTTTACGCAATTTTATAACAAACCAACACAAAAAAAGTACACAAATTTGGAGTGATTTTCAAATTGTACAAATTGAATTGATGAAGTAGGGGATGGATTTATCTTCAGCTCCCTTTTCTCTGATGTCTCCAAATAAAATCCAGTACAATTAACCCTTCACTGCCTAAAGTGTCGTTTTTGATACAAGTTCTTCAGATGCCTTGAGTGTGTTAAAAGTTTTGTGCATTTCAGCAAACCTCCTGTAAACAGTAAATATGTTACTGATTATACCTCACACATTCTATGTAATAAAACGCAAAATGCATAGAATAAAAGTGTAATATACTTTAAAAATGACTGCTAAATGCTTGTGTGAAATATTTTTACATGCCTCTAGACACATTTTTTCATATGATGATTACAAGATGATGATACATCATAGAATGAAAAGTTGCTAAATAGAAGCTTTTATTTGATTACTCGTGATACTTATTTTTTCAAAATAATTGTTTCCCTTTCAAAAATGACTTATTGTATCAGACTTTCTGCAAATACAGATGAACCATTTTTACTAATGTTTTATTAGTTTAAAAGAAATCCATCATTACATCTCAGTCTGAACACACCATTCTCACCATGAGACATTTTGGTGGCAGCATCATGCGGTGTGGATATTTTTCTTTAGCAAAAAGAAGGAGCCAAAAGAAAATGGATGCAATTAAAAAAGAAACTCAGGAAGAAAACCTGCTGCAAAAATCTAGATGTTCACTTTCTAGGAGGACAGCAACCTTGAAACATTTAGCTGGAACTATATTTTCAGTGGCCCAGTTAAAGTTCAGACTGAAATCTGTGAGAATCTGTGACAAAATATGAAAACAGATGTTCAGAGAGCTTGAGCTACTTAGCAAATAAGAATGGACTGAAATTTTAGTCTGTATAAAAGCAAAACTGCAATCCTACCAGCTGTGAGTCCCTTCAGCAGAAGCTGCTTCTGGAAAGTATTGATTCAGTTAGCTGTACACACAAACCTTTCATATTTTCATTTGGTTCCTCACTATTTTGTGTGTGATAGAGTCCAACAGGTGTAAACACACTGCAATGTTTGATTATTAAGCACATCAGTAAGTCATCAAACCAAAAAAGTTCATCTAAAGAATTGTCAGTAAAAAATTTAAAGGATACAACACAGAAAAAAACAACACTTAAAAACAAGATCTTAAAATTTATTGTACATTTTATATCATGTACAATGAGAACTAATTCCAAACGACACGTGAATTAAGACAGCTCAGGACTGCATCTGCGTTTGCGTCTCTATTACATTCCTGCAAGAGGCTGCGAATAGGAGGAATGCATGAAGGCTACCAAAGACAAATACACACTCGCATATACATACAATAAAATCTGAGCACACACACAAATCACACTGTCCACCGTCCAATTTCCCTTGTCATTCCCCTCATGGTGAGTGTGTTGTTCCCGGCACTGAAACCTGAGCTCAGGGTTCCTCGGCTTGTAGGAGGAGACACACAATCACACACTATGCATACAAATACATGGAAATATGCAGGAAAACAGGGAAAATATGTTGGCAAAAACATGCACTGCACACAATAGTGAAATATATTATAAGAAGTTTAAATGTCTTGCCTACTCTGAGTTTCTCTCTTTCACACACACATGCACGCACACACCCACACATACACATAAGCGAATGAACCATGGCTAATGACCATAATGCACTCTCAAACACGAATCTAGACATGGTAAAGCGGCGAGAGGGAGACGTGTTAAACCCACTGACATTTGAGAATCAGGCATCTGAATAAAGATTTTCAGCATTGCTTGCACAGAAACATACCAACAGAAAACCAAAAACCAGATGTTCCCCAATTTAAAAACGCCATTTCAAATATCGGAGGCGTGAAAAACTAATTATCTCCCAGCAGTGAAATAGTTTTGACATTATTTACTGAAAAGGTGCAAACACATGTGGCAGCTCGGTGCTCATGCGAAAAGGGTGCAGCCAGTTTGATTTTTTTCCATCCCGTCTCTGTCATGTCTGGCTAATCATTTCCCTGTTAGCAGATGGGAAAATAACAAGCCTGATCAATCCAGGCTGCACAGCTTCCCTGTGTTATCTGCTGATTTACTGCGCTCCGTCTCGTGTATCGCGCAGTAGAGTGAACCGTTGGGGTAGAGGGGGGATGGAGTAGAGGTACAGCGAGGTCTGCTAAGGGAGTTAAGTAACATGAAATATGGAGGGAGTCATGTCTTCATAACCCCAGTGACTGTCAAGTTAGGAGTGTTTACAAGGCCCTTCAAGTCTTGTTAATTACATCTGTCCTTCATGCTTGGAGCACATAAAAGTGCTAAAACAAGGGAATGGTCTGAAAAGCACGGATCATGCTGAAAACTACAGACACAAGCTTCTGTCAGAATTAACAAGGCCATTCTAAACATTTATCAGGCCACGCTGTGCAAAGTGTAAACAAGCTGTTTTGATGTCGTCGAGCCGCTGTAGCTGGCACGTCCCATCAGGCCAGAACGAAACGAAACGGCCCTGAGGCCTTTCATCAAAACACTTTTCCTCTCCAGAGGAAAGTGCTGCCAGGTCACCCTGAGAACCGCGGCCGAGCACCCCGCCCCTCCCTCCCAGGACTTCCAGGTCCTTCATCTAATCCCCAAAAGGAACAGAGTGTCAGAGGAGAACAAGAAGGCGGGGTGGTGGGGTGGTGTGGGCCACACTGCAGCCACATGCTGGAAAACGGACAGCGCTGCTCGCCAGAACCCATGATCTACCAATAATCCCACACGGACGCACATAAAAGTCAGATGGAAACTTTAATGGCGTCATGAGTCAAGATTTGTTTTTAAGAACATTAGTTTAACTAAACAGCAGATCACTTAAAACCCCTTTGCAGAAGTACTCGGACTGTTTTTCACATCGCCTCGCCTTACAGCAACAAACTTCAAAGTATTTTGGGGAGAAATTTTCATGTGATTGACAAAATCGTGCGTCGTCGTGAAGTGAAACATCGCATGCTGCTTTTAGGTTTTTACAAATTAAAATCTTATATTGTAGCATGGATTGGTAGTCAATACTTTGCAGAAAAGCCTTTTACTACCATTGGGCCATCTTACTACCAGCTTTTCATAAACTAAAACATTCATCTATTCTTTGCAAAATAGCACAAATTCAGTCATATTGGTCAAGAAGCAACTGCATAAAAAAATAAATAAATAAAAATGACATCTGATCCAAATAATAGCTATGAGCTCGTGCTTTATGTTTCACTATCCCTCAAAACTTTTTTTGCATCTTACAGATTTATTTCCATCCATCTTCATCCTCTCTCACCAGCGTTTCTTTGCTGACACAAAACATCAGCAAGATGCGGTCATCACCACACTTCCCCATGGGGATCATGGGGAAGTGTTTGAAAGTTTGACTCCATTGACTTGTGGAACAGTGCAGCTCGTTCAGAGCTACCATGGGCCAATAAGACAAATGAAGATAATTGGTTTATCTGGGTTTTATTTAGAGCCTTCAGAGTCAAACACAGCACCACCCCAAACTTCAAGTAGTGGTAATACTTTTAATACTTTTACGAGGTACTATACAACACTTTTAAACTTTAAACATTATACTTTCACTCCGCTCAGCCAGAGTTTAAAGGCTTTTAAAAGTGGTTTTGAGCAATCTTCTCCAATAGGTCAGAGTTATGTGATTTAAGAAGACGATTTGAACAGAAACAGAGTAAGAACGGAGTTCAAATAAGGTACTTGTTAAAGATTACAAGACTGACAAATTATGACAAAAATCAGAGATGGCTTAAAGCCTCTTTATGATACTAGTTGTGAACGGCACTGATAAGTGTTTACGAGGAGAACTTGCCTCGTTTTCTAAAGTCAGAAGTCAACACCATCCCAAACCATTGCGCTGAGCTTTAATCACATGTTCACGTTCCTTAAGTAAAGCCTTGGGAAGGCAGTACACACTCACAGCTCCATAATCTACAGTCAAACTTTAAAGAAACTTGTTAAGAATCGTGACAGACATTGCTGTGGATTTCTTCTTTGGTCTCTTCCTCCCCTCTCTCCTTTTCCTGCCCCTCTTTTCATCCACTCTCACTCTCCCATATGCGGTTCTTTCTCTTTGAATGATTCCAAGTGACATGTTTCCAGTTCCTGGCCCCTTAACAGTGTCAATTAAAGCAAGCGAGAGAGAGAGAGAGAGAGAGAAAGAGAGATTGAGTGGGTTCCAGGGTTTTGGCTGCCACTTTGCTCTCTTCTGTGCTCTAATCCGGAGAGCTGACATTCAGCCCAGCACAACAACCCTGGGAGCAGTGGGAATCAAAGGGCTTCACACAGACTTTAGGAAGAGAAGGGGAAAAAGGTGGAGGAGTTTGCGTTCATGTTAGGGGCTGGGGGGGATCTGAGAGGTGGGTGACGGCTCAAGTAAAAGAAGAGAAAAAGATGCAAAGTCGATAGTAGTGGAAAGTGATGGACGGGAAAAAACATCTGAGTGGCAGAGAGTTGCAAAAACAGAGACTCTAATAGCAAAGAAGAGTAAAGGTTTGAATATGCGGGGCAGACAACACTGCCAAGTCACACACTGACTGTGCTTACGCCCAGCTGGGGTCAGAAAAAGAGGTTAAAAATGCTTCAAACACACACACACACACACACACACACACACACACACACACACACACACACACACACACACACACACACACACACACTGACTGACTCACTCTCTCTGACACAGGCACACACATTCTGGGCTGCATGTCAGGCCGAATAGCTGCGTGAGGAAACAACCACGAAGGGAATCATAAAATTAAATGACTCCGAGGTCCAAACAGCAACACAATCGCTGTCCAGATGGCTCCCCCTGATCAGAGCGCAGTCTGCACAGGCACCACAGTTTCAGCGATGTTTAAGCTTCGGATGAGGGGAAACAATCACTGAAACAATCATCCGAAGCTCACAATCGAAAGCAGCTCACAATCGATGTGAGCTGCTTTGAAAAAGTCGAAAATATTTATCATCCCTCCTGCTGAAGTCATCTACCTGCTCTTAGTCCCTCAGGGGCTTTGGGCTGCAGAGCCTGGAGGTACCATGTGGCCTGAGAATAAAAACAGCTCCAAATGCCTTCAATTCTTTTCTTTCTGGCTCCACCTGCTGGACGATCAGAGCAACTGAAGGAAGGGAAACTGGCTGAATATTACAACAAATTATAACCAGGGTTTCAGTTAGTTATTCAGCCATTACTACCTCTTCATATATTAATCTCCAATTTAAAACAGTTGTATGTCTTTAGAATCTGCTTTTGCACTAAACTCATAGGAGGCATATTCAGAGGAAGGAAGTGGCACACCATCTAAAAGTTGATCAAAGCAAATCTGTGCAACTAGGCTAAATTAGTAGCACCTCTGATTTAATTAAACAACTTTATATGACATTTTTAATTTTATATCAGCTTGGATTCACTAATTTTGAGGCAAGAAGCCATGAGCTGGATAACAGGATGTTAAAAAGATATCAATATCAAATCTCTGAAGTTCTAAGTGCATATAAAGGTTTACTGAAACATAACACTCATCAAGTCTTATAAAACTTTTGGTCAGATTCATCTGATAGATCTTTTGTGCCATAATAGCTCTCTGTCTAAAACAATGATGTTAAGGAATGCAAGCTTCTCCATTTTCTATATAATCAAAAGCAAATAAGTGGAAGTAAAACAACAACATATCCAACATATTTTTTTAAATTAACACAAATCCAACTTTGTGGATTTAAAGTAACAAAAAAACTACAAAATTATACAATCTGTTTTGTGTTATAGTTTCTATCAATATGAGGAAAAAACAATACACATATTTTATTAATTTATCTTTTATTTATGCGCTATGTAAAGGTATTTTCAACCTTATAGATTCTGTTTTTGCTGGTTCATTTTGTTGCACTTAAATGTTTCAGAGCATCAAAAAAAGTTTATACTATCCAGCAAAGATAACCCAAGTACAAAATATAGATTTTATATTATGACATACATTATGGAAAACTGTGTGTTATAAGAGTTTTAATAGATATAGTGTTTTAAACATGAACACCAAAGTAAATGCAATTGCTTGGGGCGTTTGATATATTCAATGAACATACAAAAAATAAAAACAGAAACACAACATATTAGTATTTAATCTAACAGTCACCAATCAGAGGCAATGAAGGGAAACTTGGCTGAAAACTACACATGGGGCAGGAACCAAACAATGTATCTACTATCAACACCTATGAGTTGTAAGTACACAAATACTTTAAACTTATAATTGTGGAAAAACTGGTATGCGTCTAGTTTACTGATACTGTTTTGTAGGGTAAGACCTTACAAAATAGTAATAAAAAAAACGTATTCTTAGGAAGGAAGAAGTACAATGAGCAAGATGTTTCTAAAATAATAATATTGCACACTGATGTTTGTAATATTTTGTGCAGAGCTAATTACAAAAAAGACCATGTCATCCAGGGGCTCACTGACCTGCTTTCAGGGTCCAGGAAGACAGAGCCGCTGCTCTCACAGAGAGCCTCGCTGACAGGCGACAGGCAGAACGGCGAGGAGAAGGTGTCCGAGTCGGAGCCCATGGTGCTGTCCCGGCTCACCTCGTCCGACAGCTCGTAGGACCCTTCATCACCCTCCTCCCCGGCAAAAAGAAGCTGCTGCTGGTTAGAGGAGGGGTCCGAGCCGCTCTCACCCACCAGGCTCTGGGCAGAGGTGCTGCTGGTGATGTTCCTCTCCTCGTCCTCCTCTTCCTCTGGAGCGGCCGCTGGAGGACGTGAGCGCGGCCTACAGAGGATGGTTGGTTTGAAACATCACACACTTCGGTAAGACTTTATTTGACAGTCCATAAGACTGACATGACAATGTCATAAACATGACATAAAACCTGTAATGAACATGAAGGAGTCTTTATGAATGTCTATGATTGTGGTCATAAAGTGTAATTTGGTAAATGACACTTCTAATGCAAAGTTGCTCTAAAAGTTTCATTGGAAGTCCATTAAAAGTGCAAATTTTGCATTAAAGTGCCATTATTTACAAAATATTAAGTTGGCACTTCTTTATATGCTTCTTTATTTTCAGAATGTACCCATATTGTGTTAATATGCACAGATCTGGTGCCCACCCTTGTACCTCCTGCCTCTGCGGCGGGCGTTCCTGCGCACAGGCGAACTCTCCGGAGTGATGTATCTCAGCGCCTCCTCGTCCTGCCTCTGGATGCGGGAATTTGGCACCCACGTCAGAATCAGCGTGGAGCCCAGGCACTCGTCTTTCTCCACGTGTACGCACAAGTATCCTGCAAGGGGCAACAAAAACCATGTTGGTGTAATAAAAAAAAATCTTTTATAAATTTTTGTAAAAGAAAATCTCCCTTTTAAAAATGTTTTAGTTAAACTCAACACTAAAATATGTCCCATAAAAAATAAAACCTCGTGCACACTCCCATAACGATCAGGACATTTGTTCACTTTTATTTCCCAACTCCTCCCAGGCATTTCCATTGAACTACATGACATGCTGGTGTTTTCATAAAAACTCTCTAGCCCTGAGCCTCTAGCCCTGAGCCTTGAGCTAAGCTTCAAGTTTTTTGGAGGATGTTGGATTCTCAGTGAGTTCTTTTCGCCATTGCTGCTCAGTTTTTTTTTTTTTTATGTCTATGTGAAGAGGAGAGCTGAGCTGAGCAAACTCCATCTTGTAACAAAAGGTATGGGAGCTGAAGAATCCAAAATACAACAAAATCCATTACATAGCTTTTCCTACTTATTGATATCAACAAATTCTGTGAATTTCTGCCTTATATTGTGGACTCCATTTTGTTTGTCATCCCACATCTCAGAAACCACTAGGTCTTCAAATATGGAGTGTACTTCTAACTGAAACTGTATTATTTAGTACATTTTAGGTAAATTGTTTCAATTTATAGCAGACACAGCCAAATAACCTCCAACCTCACTGGAGCTCTCCATGATAAACAGGTGTAAGAAAAAGCAGGTAGTTCTATATCTGTGCAGCCAAACCTGGGTGGTGCTCAGCCAGGCCCGGGAGGGGCTCCGCAGGGTGAACGCAAACATTATTCTTTGAGAAGATGATCTCGCCATCCAGCCCCGAGCGCAATGATGAGCCCCCCGCCCCGGGATTTAAGGTCAGGAGGTCGGAGGCTTTGGAGGAGGCACGCCGAAGGAGCCGACCCAGAGACATCTCCTCAGGCACTGGGACACTGAGCCCATCCTCTGAAAGGAACCAGACAGCAGAGAGAGACAACGTTAGAGACAACATGTTGTATTTCACAAGGACGGAGCACAGAGAAGAGGGCTGAGTATCAGGCAAAATCATTTCTGTATATTTAATAGGCACAATGTTGACCCAGTTTCAATGAACTGACAATATTGCTATTTAAAACTTCAAGTGTTTCCAAGAATTGTGATGCCATGCACTCTAAGGTTGTCAGGGATGGGAATCAGTCATAGCATCGCAAATTATCTTAGGAAAGACCCACCTTGAATGGTTGCCACTGAAAAGTTCAATCTTTAGAAAGTACAGCTCAAATGTCACACCAAAAAACCAGAAGCTGCCAAGTGAACTCTGATGAGAAACCAACCAAATGAAGTTGGTTTAAACAGGATCTGCAAGCTGTTCTTATTTTTGACCACTAGATGTCACTAAAGAGGACTGTGTGATAAAACTAAGCTTCATTGCTGCAGAAAGCATCTTTTGGGCTTCACTAGAACATAAAAAAATGCCTCAATCTTTCTCATTCTGAAGCAAATTATACTGATCTTTCTGCTACAGCTGTAACAAGGGCAGAAAAAGCAGTGTGTCCAGAAATAAACTAACGTAAAGATAATTTAAAAAGCACAGGTTGAAAACTAATCCCTCCATTAAAATCTAGCGGTTGACAAGGGTCCAGATCCAGAACCCAGCTATGGACCTCTGACCCCAACAAATGTTTGGCAAAATAAGAGACATACATTCACCTAATTAATTCAGTTCCTGTTTTTTGTTTTACAGTAAACTCAAAAAATAAAAAGTCAGCTCTATATGTGTAGTATAGATGAACAACATGCATGTGTAACGATGTTAATGATAAAAAGGTTCCTGGAAATTCTGATTAACTTTAATGTCAAAAACAATTATTGCTTACCACTGAATAGATATGATGAAATTAAAAGGCTGTTTTTTCTTATTTTAATTAAACATCAAATTACTTTACTAGGCATTCCACTAAATATGGCGGATTATGTAAAAACTGAAAACGACAAATGAGGTGTAGAGTTTAAGGTCAAATGCAACCCAGCCTCACCCTTAAGTTGCAGAAATCCTCAACAAACTTCCCCTCCTCAGACACATGTGCTAATATTTACTGCAGTGTCCTTACTGCAGAGCTCCCCTCACACCTTGCCTGACTTGTTCAGCGTTTCTCAGAGCTGTGCACCTGCATCTACTAAAGCAGCATCAGGTCCTGTGTGTGTGTGTGTGTGTGTGTGTGTGTGTGTGTGTGTGTGTGTGTGTGTGTGTGTGTGTGTGTGTGTGTGTGTGTGTGTGTGTGTGACTAAATGTTTCCCACCTTCTGCAAACAGCAGAGAAACACAGTGATGGACAGTGAGCAAACACACTCTGCTCCATATGTGTGAAATTCCAAGCTGTTATCAGAAGCCAACAGATGTCATCCACGTCGACCGCTGAACTGGGACCAGCGGGTTTTGCTGCCTGAGTTTGAACTGTCCGCTCTGGAGAAAGCTTTGTGGGATAAAATAAACTTTCACTTGGAACAGAAGGGACTCCTTTGGTTTAGAATTAGTTTTTTTATTCTCTAGTATTAAAAGGAAACATAAGGCATTTAAAGTAATTTTTCCTTTAGCTTCTGCTTTTTTAATCAGTCCATCCCACTAATCTGTTTTTGTATGGTTAACGTTTTCCATGTTGGATCAAAGTCATATCTGCGTAACCTTGCTCCTTACTTGGCTGAACACTCTGACACATACTCCCCACTCTATCTCAGGAATGTTCCCTCTTTTTTCCTCAGGGAAAGAACGTGGGGGGTCTGGGATGGGAACATGTTTACCACCACTTGATTAAGCAGGCACCTCACTTCCTGGTGCCAAGCCTCATACAGGAAGCGTACCAGCACAAGATCTGGGCATTAACTCAAAGAGAAGCTATGTGGTTGGCAATCATTTCACTTCCTTCTGAAAAAGTAGAACTGTGGCTGTTTTTTAGGTCAGAGATTTACCGTTGGCACAGAAAAAGTGTCTTCTATCTCAAGAACATTGGTAAGCTAATCCTGAGATTCATATCTAAAAGTAAGTCTTAAAGTTTTGATTATTTATTAATGCAAAATTAAAGAAAATATTTTGAAATACTTAGATCAAATTAAAAACAGATAATCGTATGGAAACTGATCAAATAAAAAGTTGAAGAACCTAGCTAAATGCATCGAGAAAAAAACCTCAGGAGCAAGAATGGAAGTGTCCATATGTCACGACTGGCTGGAAGCTAAGAGAACAGGAAGTAGCTAAAAGAAAAAAAAATCAAATACAAACAGTTTAACAGCGAGGATTACCTTGAATAGAAAGGGGAATAAAGATAAGATAAGATAGTGACAGCGTTAGAAGGGTTACAGGTTGGGTTAAGGAAAAAAGACAACTTAACACAGAAGCAAGAATACTTCTGACAGCAATAGCTTTATTGGATTTAGATTTAAAAAACTGTGTGTATACTGACAGTACACACAGTTCATGTCAGGAAGGTTTCAATCAATAGCTCAATCTAGAATAAAAAGAACTATACAAAGAAGCACTTAGCCAGGGATACTTTCTGTGAGACAGGAAACTAATGAATATACATACCTAGTGGTATTAATAGCTTGGTCAATTTACCTGAGCCAGGAAAAAGACACAGCTAAGCAAAATAGCACATAGGGAAGAGTACATTCAACATAAAAAAAGAAAGGACATCAGTAATGGAAGTGAATATGCACTGGTGATAGCAGAATATGCTTGGTCAATATGTTTGTCCAGGAGAGGCTAGCCACAGAAGTACTAAGAAAGGAGAACTTTCTATAGGGAAGAAAAACAAGGAGAGTAAGCACAATTTAGTCTGTGCAAAACAAAGGAGATAATGGAAGCACTGGTATTTGTCGATTGCCTCTGTCCAGAAAACAGATACTAATAAACACAGAACCACTGATCCAGGAATACTTTCTGCTGTACTGAAATATACTAGATAATGAACTTAATTCAGATCAAATCAGACTATGAACTTGACACGAGTCTGAAATCATCAAACTTTTCTAGACAAGTGCAGCAGCCTTTCTATCCCGCAAGCCACCTCATTAAACTACATCTTAGCATAGCAAGGCCCCAGAACTATAAATTTACCCTACAAACAAGGTGCTTTGTAGGGTAAAGCACCTTGTTTGTAAGAACACCACACTAAACTGTTTGCTGGTATGAAAGAGTAACAGCAGCAGCTGTACGGCATGAAAAATGTTGGCTGACCCCATGAACTTTCTGATAATGTAGAATTCAGATCTTTGCACATTACAGCTTTCTGCTGTTTCAGAGCTACGAGGAGCTATTTACTGCTGAGCTTCAATGCAGCGGGGTGACCAGGGTCAGTGTCAGGTTCAGATTCAGGTTCACACAGGCTGATAAGAAGAAGCTTCCTCTTGCTCTCACTTCATTCCTTAATCCCGTCAACAGCTCAGCGTGCCCACAGACAGACTCTCCCCTCTGACCTTTCTGCGTTTCATCAGACATCTCAGGAGTGAGACACCTTCCTAGATTCATTTCCTCTATCCGATAATCAATGGAACATTTTTACCCACTTCTTCCAAACCAACTGTCTGATATATTTTTTTTTAACCTTAAATAAGAGAATAAAAACTACACAAAGAAAGTTCAGCTGCAAGGGCAGCAGCCACAGATAGCTTCTCACTTCTGTTGACATGTGAATGGAAGATCTCTCTTTCATATCCACTATTCACGAGGTTGCCCGGGGCAGCTGAAAACAGATCACCCTACAAAACAAGATCCTTATGGACTCCAAGTCATGAGGAAACTCTTTTGGGTGCTTCAAAAACAGGTTTCTTGTTTCAGGAGGAATGTTATCTTAACAATGACGTCATAAATTAATATACAGCATCTCCTAAAGGTTCAGGACCAGAAATTAAATCCAAAGAAGACCTATAAACTCAATTGCAAACTGAACAGCAGAATGTATAGCCCTGCAGAGGTTAGATAGCTGAGGTAGTCACTAGCTCATTGTTGCAAAGCATTATGTATACGATTGTATCAGGTTTCTTTATCATCATCACAGCTTTTCTGTATAATAATGAAGAAAAAATCTTGAACAAGTTTACATATCTAAGGTACGAGTTTGTCAAAATTTGTGAATCAAAAGTACAAGGCGTAGAATATTAGAAAGCCAGTGCATTTTTCGTTTGCTTCTTTCTGAAGTTATTTCTTTAAATGTGTAAAAGGAAACAAAACCAATTTTACAGTCTTTTGGTATCTGTTCCTGCAACTAAAAAGAAGAACGGCTGAAATTTCAATTTGATATTTATATTTCAAAGCAAACATTTTTGTAAAGTTTTTTATGCTTTTTCTATAACTGGTTTGCAGTGAGAAAATTCACGTTTTCTCACTACACTTAAAAAAAAAATCACAAAATCAATATAGCTACATTAGAAAACAAAATAAAACAGTTTGATTTCACCCATGATAAATATATTTTATATGTTTTGTAGCTTTTCCTATAGCTCCATGAGCCATATGTAAAAAAAAAAAGCACAAACACAAAAAAAGTCCCCTCTCGGTGAAGCAAATACTTTGCAGGGTTAAAGTGTAATTGACTCCCCAATGAAAGCCACATGAATTCCCAGATAAATTTTGAGAAAGTCCACCAAAGTGAACCAAGAGACAGGTCAAGCGTGGGGATGAGTGGAGGGAGAAAACAGGGTGGTGGTCTTCCTGTCCTGCAGAATAACCATCAGAAGTCAGAGCAGAGGAAAGCCATTCCCTTTGTGTCCACACTGGAAATAAATCACACATTTGCTAACCTCAGTAACGCCATCGATCAAAGCCATGCACACTATTCCAACTCCTGACTCTCCACCAGGTGAGGCAATGAGTGAGATGATTTTACACCTGAACTGTGATGAAGTTGTTCTAAGCTTCACCACTCCAACCACTAGGAAAATTCGACTGTTTAGGCACTGTCTGACCTGAGGAGGGCAGCACTGAGGCAGGTTTAGGCAAAATATTGCAGAACTGAACAAATTTACACAAAAAAAGCCCAAATTTGCACAGAAACATAAAGACAGAGCGCTAAATACTTAGTTCATCAGCAACATAAAGTTAATATGGGGGTTAGTTACACTTTAAATTGTGGATTCGAGGGTGTCGACTTTAACAAGAGGGGTATTTTTTTTTTTCCTTTTTGGAGTCTTATTTTAATTCTAAGAAAATCCACGTCAGCAAACCATTCTTCTAATTTGAAGTCATTCAAAATAAATACTTATTATGTCTATGCGTTTAAATATCGAACAAGGAAGAAGTCTCAGCTTTCAGTTCCATGAAGATGGAAACCCAGCATCTGTATTTTTCTCAGCAGCAATTCTTAGTATTTGCTGGGTGAGTGAGGATGTTCTCTCTCTCCCTGTCAGCCTGCTTATGGCGGGACGAGCCTCGGCAGCCTCCGCCTGACAGCAGCAGATGGACACGGCTATTTACACCAGGCCCAACACTGCTTCCTCTGGGTTACATGTCCGAGCAGGGACTCTTGTGTCAGCACCACCTCTAACGTGAACATTTTAGCTGTTAGAGTCTTTGCAAAACACACTGTGTAAAAAAAACACACATGCTTATCGGCCACAGTGAATGATACAGTGACTGGTGTGCGCACACCTGCTCCAGCGACAGGAATAAATGAGCAGAGATAGCAGAGCTCTCACCTTCAGTTCCGCCGCAGGAATCTACAGCCCACTCCGGACAACCATCTCTGCGAGCGGACAGAGCCCCAGCGCTACGAACCGGGCCTGGGTTCGGCTCCTTTCCACGGGTCTAGCTCTAATATCAACTCAGCTCTATTTTTTTTTTTTAATCGCAGAGGTTTATCACTGTATGAGGCACCGCCGCACGCCTAACTGCTGCTATTTCAATGGCAAAAGTATACACTTCCGCTCTGGACTTTCAAAGTAAAACTACCTTTAGGAAGTCATATTCCTTTGAAACACGCTTGACATTTTAATGTAAAAATACAATGGTTTTTACTTCCTGAAATATCTTTGCCTCTTTAATGTCTTGACTTTACGTCACAGCCCCTAACCAATCACTCCTCATTTGTAGCTACTTCCGGCCCGTAGTATTACTGACACATAACTGGAAATGTGAGATTTTATGATGGATTTTAGATGTTTTGGCATGCAAGTTACTTTATAAAGGTGTCCGATCAGTGCTAGAATTCAATTGGTCCACCATCAGGACCAGAGCTGGATTCAGAGCATCATCACACTTCTGCTGTCTCCAGCTGCCTGTTTAAAACCGGTTTCTAACACAACAGCATCCTGCAAAAAATATGTATAAGAGGGATATTTTCAGAAATTTTCAGATTACGACCTTAAATTTCAGTAGGATTTTGTTTACTACATCAAAGAAGAGGATGAAAGAGTGGCATGTATTTGGACTCATCTGTCTTTACTCTGATACTCTGAAATTTATAAATCCATAAATTCTGTGAGGGCAAATTCACTCAGTAATTTGTAATTTGATATATATTTATTATTATTATTATTATTATTTTTTAGTAATTTATCTTGCAGTGGAATGACGACTTTGAGGAGTAATAAAGTGTTATCAGCAAGCAAATGTAGCATCTTATCAAGGTCAAAAAGTAAAATCACAAGATTAAAATGTATTTTTTGCATATTTTATAAACACTATTTACAAAGCAATATTTACAAAACAATTTTTATATATCACTAACTGATCCTGATTTAAAAAATTAAAAATAAAAGACTTTTTAGTTTACATTCAAAGGCTTCAAGAAAATCTGCTGATGTGATGACAGAATAATGCAGCTGATTATTTTAGCAGCACAGGACAAAGGCAAAAAATATGACAAAGTTGGTGCATCATAGAACCCACTGGATTGTAAACGTTTTTGACATCGGCAAGGCCAGAGGAGTCACTGTTAGAACCTAAAAAACAGGCACAAAGAAAATGTGGTTCAGTTTGAAAGATGGTGAACTGGAAGGCAATATTATTTTTGCTGCTGTAATTGAAAAGCATCAGTGAAAAGAGTACTATCTATCCCAAAACTCACCTTTGTGTCAGTCTTATATGTAAAGTCTGTAACTTTCTCTCCATTAACCAAGACATAAAGAGGTTGTGAAGGCACTCCAAACACCTGGACGCCTCCCAGAAGAAGACTGGCCAAGGCTCCACTGAGGGTGAGAGGGTTGCTGAATATCTGCGACTGAAGTAAAGCAGAAATAATTTAACACATCTGTTAGTCAGAGTCCAAGTAAAATCCTGATCATATACAATACTCACAAAGATTAAAACGTCCATATCAAACACATTTTCACTCTTGCCTTAAACAGGATTCAAACATCTTGAAAGGATTCAGTTGAAACGGTACAAATACTTCTGCTGATCTCTGTACCTACCTGTCCAGCAGTGAAGTTAACATAACAATAATTTTGTGTTTCAAAAGTTTTAAGGCTCTCTCCATCGTCCCAGAACAAGTCCCCCTGTGCCCAGCCACCAGAGGACAGCGCCACCGTCAGGAAGAAATGGTTTTCACGTGAAGCTGCAGTGGTCAAAGCAGGTTCCTTCACAGAAAACAAATATTTTGCAGTATTTCAAAATAGTTTTTTAAAATTGAAATACAGCAACACATTACAAAAGACACTATCAAGCTAATGAATATACCAGAATTAGCCTTCAAACTGTTTGTGCAGTTTATCAAGCAAATCCTGCAAACTAAAACACGAGGAACAAATTTTCACTTTATCCATTAAGTTGACAAAAACTGAAATAAAACCCAAGCTACTTTCTCTGTAATTCTGTAGCGCTGACTCTCACCTGTTGGGGGATGATGTGGCCCTCCCTCACATGAACATTGATTGTTTCCAGAGGGGCCAATAGCTGAACGTACTGACCGTCACTGTGGAACGGCTGACCCTTTGAGAAAGCAAGAGATGTAAGTGAAATAAATTATTTCACTTACATAATGAAATAAATCTTGGTTAATGAAATAAATGAGTTTTAGCATTTCTTGCAATTAAAAAAGTGAGAACGTTATTTTGACTTTTAAGGCATTTCTCTACTTGCTTTGTCCTTTTAAAGGTTGATCTTTTTTGCCCAATATTATTTGCAAAATAGCTTAAGATCAGTCTGAATACAAAAAGAGAGCCTGTGAAAATAATTTATTTTAATCTTTAGGCATTATGTAGAATCAATTAGCACTGAACTTTGACTGGACCATTCCAACACATGACAATGATTTCAGTCTTTATTATAGTCCCATGTATTTTGCAGAGGGGTTCCCACCACATATGGGGTTTTGCACTTTACCCAAAAGTTTAATTTTGGTTTCATTTTAGCACAGCACCTTTATTCTGCAATTAAAAATATCCAAGTGGACTCTATTTATTAGTTTCGGTAAGTTAGTAACCAAATTGGTCACACCGACCTTTATGGAGGGCTTAAGAGTGAAGGGAGCTAAACACAAAAGCACTTATCCAGTTTTTTGTGTCAAAGGATTTCCCAAAAAAGAAAAACATTGAAGTTTGTGGTTGCAGTTGTAAAATAAAAATATAAACAGGTTCAAAAGATGTGAACACTTTTAAAGGTAACAGACTGCATTGCTACTTACATTGTGCAGGTGGTACCAAGTGCCAGCTGGTAGATACGCGCTCAGCTCTACTGCCCCTTGCTCTAAAACAGGACTGATGAGAAGTGAACTCCCCCACAGGAACTGTTGGTCTATGGTCTGACAATGAGGGTCGGTGGGAAACCTGAGAGTTACAAAAACACAGAGAAAAGAATGAAAAAGGGTTGAGATATTTTAGTTTCATGTTACATTAAAAGGACAGAAGAAGAAAGTACATACTCCATGAAGAGGGGCCTAGCTACAGTGTCAGCAGATGTGTGTGCACGATGGAAGAGTGTATAGAGAAACGGGAGAAGGGAGTAGCGAAGGTTCAACGCACTCCGCATGGCTGCTTGGGCCTTCTGCCCAAATACAAACGGCTCCTGAGGCTGAGGGACAGGACAAGTGAAAACAGGGAAACTTTTCATGATATGAAACAAACGCTCACAAATCCCCATTACACTACAAAAACAGTCATAAACTTTGAGTCTCACAGCATTGGGCTTGTCATTGTGGTTCCTCATAAACGGATAAAAGGCGCCAAGCTGCATCCATCGGACACACAACTCCTCGTTGGTGTCGCCTTCAAAGCCGCATATGTCGGCTCCCACCAGGGGAACTCCAAACAGGCTGAACTGCAGCACGGCTAAGTAAAAATAGTACAAAAGGAAACCATTGTATTCTGCCACAAGTTTGTACTGAGACCAAATTTCCACAAAAATGCACTGGCATGACCTTTGACACTTGGCATTTACTCACCAGGGATGGAGAACCGAAGTTGTTCCCAGTCACTCCTCACATCTCCTGTCCACACTCCAGAAAACCGCCCGATGCCAGGGAACGAGGAACGAGACAAAACAAAGGGTCTCTTTCCCTGAATGTTCATAAGAGCGCTGAGAATGAAAACATAGTAAACAGGATTAATACACAGCAAGTCCAATACCTACATTTGTATGTTAAGAAGTTGCTTTATTGTAGTTTGTATCTCTTTATTCTTAACACAAATTGGTCAATTTGTGTTATTTTATAATAACACTAATTCAAGTAATAATAACATTGCTGTATAGTCTGACCTGTGCGTTGCATAAGCTTCAGTCAATCCGTACAGATTGTGCAGGTTGTAATGACTGGACAGCTGCTGCTGCGCTGACATACATATGGTTCCTGAGTTCAATTGGCCTCCAATCACCCCTGTTTGTGTGATATTTGGAAAAGATTTATAGCTGCAATCTAATTGGGTAATAAAAGTTGTTGTTTTTTTCCATTTCCATCTATAAAGAATTGCTACCACTTGAACTTTTTCAGAGTTTTTTTTTATCCCAAACTTCAAAATATTTTATTGGAATTCTGCGGCACAAAGTAGTGAAGAATTGTTATGTGAAAAGACATACTACATTAATTTAAATAATTTCACAAATAAAAATCTAAAAAAGCCTTTTCATTCATCCCTATTGTGCGTTACTTTTTTGTTAGTTCATTAAATAAAAACCAAAATATACACAGATTCAAATGGTGTGAATACTTTTTGGGGCTACTATAGTTCCAAGCTAGTGATAAATATCTAATAAACTCACGAGGTGTATATGGTGGTTTCTCAAGCTCGCTGTCAGGGCAGCCCACCACTGATCCTTGAACAAAACTGGACGGTTCATTCATATCCTGGTAGGAAGCAACAGCACAATGTCAATTATTTTAGAGATTTAAGCCTAAATACGTCCTTTAGATCTAAACCAATGATCTGTTTAGTATGCTTTTTTGTTTTTGTGCACTTACAATCCACAGACCATCTACAGAAACTTTAGAGAAGAAGTCTCTGATGCAGTCCTCCCACCACTGCCTGGCCTCAGGCTTAGTGAAGTCAGGAAATGCTGTTGGGCCGGGCCAAACCTGTGTGTACAAAACACTTAGCTTATATGAAGGTAAATTAAGAGCTTGGTACACATGTGACTCAATATAATGATCTAAAAATTGGCTCAAACCTTGCCTATCAGAATGTCTCCAGTCGCATTCTTAATAAACACGTCTCGCTTCACACCATTTTCAAAAGGCGGGTATGTTCCAGGGGGGCTGGTGCTGCTAATGCCCGGATCCTAGGGAAGAAACGAGCCGAGATAAAACACTGGAGTTTCACTGTAAAAGAGTTTTGCTGCCATCTACTGGATGAGTTGGTCAACAACTACTTTTACTTTAATTTCATTGAAGTTGCTGTGAAGAAATGGTTTAGATCCTCCATATATAAAAAAAAACTGTAAGTTAAAATGTCAAATTTTAAAGATGTCCTACCAGAATGAGGATGTACTTTATGCCTTTCTTATGAAACTCCTGGACCATCTCCGGAAGATCACCAAATCGCACAGGGTCAAAGGTGAACACTCTTCGCTTGTCTGCGTAGTCCAGGTCATTCCACTGCACATCCTGGAGATGAAAATCATTAAATACTCTCAAAAATAAATGAAGCAACTGCATCAAAATATTTATACTTTCGATTTTTACAAAGTCCGAGTGGTTTTGGTACAACTGATCCCGTCTGTAATATTATGAAAGTGATAAAATTACTGAGACTTTTGCAATATTTGCAAACTTAATTTTTAAAGTTCTTTAATATATTTCTACAAATTAAAACCAAAAATTTCCAGATCACTTCTGTCTGCATGCAGTTGACATTTATGATGTAATTAAGAATCTAACATATTACTAACTCAATATAATGTAAAAAGCTAAGTATATTTTTTTCTACATACAATTAGCATGTAGTTCTGTTTCATTTACCATGGGAAAGTTTGCACTGTGCATGCGTTCTGCAACCATCCGGGTTGCATTAGTAGTTGTATATCCCCAGCGACAAAGATGAAAGCCCAGAGACCAATAAGGAGGCATCATAGGATACCCTGGAAAAAAAAAAAACAATGTCCATTCAAAAGTCACATACATGTTTGTACGTCTCGTATTATTTGGATATGTGTTACAAGAGCTCAGTAAAACAGGAAAAGACATACCAATGACCTGAAGGTATTGTCGTACCACACTTTGAGGGTCAGGACCCAAGAAAATGTACAGATCCAGGATTCCACCAGTGGATACCCAGGTGAGGCCTGGTGTCGGCTGCAGTATCACTTCTACAGAGACATTTCAAAGGAGTTGCATATACTATATTTAAGACAGAATATGTCTGCACAATAGAGACTTTGAAAACACAATGAGCAGAAGGAAAGAGAGGACTACCAATTGCATTGCTGTTGAGAAGAAAAACTCCATGTGCTAAACCGTGGTCTTCCTGCACTATGTAGAATGGATGGGAGCCATAGAGGTTAGCGTCAGCCTGTAGTGAAAGACAGAAGTTTAAATATGCAGCAGGTATGCATATAATTCATTCTGCTGAATATCATTCTGCTGATAATATTTGGAAACTCATTTGGTGCACTCAGGTTGGTGCACTCACTCTAACAGGCTCACATGTGGTGCCATGTCTCTGTTCCAAAGAGTCCATGATGTCCAGTTGAGGTCCAGGACGAGAGAGGTGTAATGTTCTCCAAGGCCCGACACCAAGGAGGAGGCCAGAGAGGTGGACAGCTGCAGGTATTGGTCAGCAAACAGCAAGGGAGCAACTGTGGTGTTCATACTAAACTCAGAAGGCAAAGACACAGATAATCTTTTATAAATTTCTTACTAATCATGGCAGCAGACAGGAAAAGCTGGGCAGGCACGACCTCCACAGGGATTAAAGACAGAGATACATACAGAACCCTTCCATTGGACTTGCGCCGCACTATGAAACCGAATGGATCGTGCTGGAATTCAGTTGTGTAGAGAACATCCTGGGTATATGCTTCTGTCTGAAAGCTACCAGCAGGGAGGGGGACTTCATACCGCTCAGAGGATGGATCCTTTAACTACAGAGACAACTTATGTCACTCAAACCCCAAAACAACCAAAAACATTCATTACATGGAGGTGAAGAATTAAATGTCCTGAAAGAAGTTATTTAAATAGTTTGTCTTGGAAGAGATATTTATATACCTAAACCTTTCCCTTTTTTCTTTGGTTATTTCATTTGACGTGTGCAAATAATTATCTGCAGAAGTCATGAAATTAAATAACTGAGTCAATGTGTGTTTAATTTAAACAGTGGAAATAAAGGGGGTTCACCTTCCATTATTACAAATACTATAAAAATTAAGTGGCTTAATTCAAAAGCACATCTCATTTTACTTATTTTCAAAACCACATATCATTTTTATGCCATTTTGCAATAATATGCCACATTGTGCTCCTCTAACAAAAAATATTTGTTAAATATATTGAAGTTGATGCGTGAAAAGTGAAAAATGTGGAAAAACTTCAAGGTGTATGAATGTTTTTGAAGGATACTGTAAAACAAACTCAGAAACAGGCTATAGCAACATTTAAATCTAATGCATTATATACAATTACTGGCATAAACCACGAACTGCAAGAAAGCTCTAAACAAAGCACTGAGAAATCGTGTTGAGTTCAAAAACACTTTAAATGAGAAGATTTGCACACATTGTGATCTTAAATACTCACAACAATGTGAAAGCAGCTTGCAGTCTCCGCTATGACTTCCAGGCTCAGAGTGGAGATATCTCTGGGGAGGTAGGAAGGGCTGGCCCTGGTCAGGGTGGCAGTCTGACCCTTCTCGCTGGGGGTGAGGGGTCCCATGTTATAACCTGGGTACAGGGCAGGGAAGAAGCACCAGGGTGGTCCCGCAGACCCAGGTAGAGGAGCATAGCAGCATCCTCTATCCTCACACTCCTCTTGGCTCAACAACCTGTCCCTGGCACAGTCAAACCGACTCTCCGGAGCTGTGGTGCATTCAGGTTTTCTGGAATTTTCGGTTCTTTGGGGACTATCTGAGTGGATGTCACTCTTTGTAATGCTCTTTGGTTCTCTGGGATAGGAATAAGCAAGCTTTTTACGTAGCATGACTTCATAATGATCAAAATGACCTGACCTAACGAGTCTGCCTTCATTGCTGAACAAAAGATTCCTGTATAAACACGCTAACAAAGACAGAGAAAGGAGGAGCGCCGTGGTAGACAAAACACCCATTCTTTTTCAAACACAAATAAATTCCTGTTTAGCACACAGTGCTATGTCAAAGCTGTTGCTACTAATTAAAAACATACGACTCGTTTAAAAAAGTCCCGAAGCACGGAGGGATATGTATAATTGAAACTAAACTGCCATGATAAAAAGAAATGGCAGGGGTGATAAAACTGAACTGACGTTAAAACCAACAGAAGCTACACAGGTAGCAACAGAGAAGCTAAAAATACTAAGGCAAGCGTGCTGGGACAAACAAACTAAAACGCTAATGCTTCAGCGTAAAAAATGGTAACGCTTCAGTAAACGAAAACTCCTTATCGACAAACCGATTAATAAAAACGGTATTTAAATGTGCAGAGTGCTGAATATTATTTTTGTTGCTGCTAATTAGGACTTTTGGTCAACTGTTTCCACATTTATAGACTTTAGTTCACTACTTATAATGTAAATAAATCTGCTTCGTTACCTAATAATGAAACATTCAATCAAAAGTGGAAAGTCAGAGGACATTAACATTCAAGTCACATCCAAGTCTTGGAGGTGAAACAAACATCTAGAAGGGACTGTACTTACTGTAATAATGCTACTGAACAAGAACTTTAAGAAAAAACATTAACAATAAATGCCACTTCCCTACATCTTCAATTACTTTTCTCTCATCTTCTTTATGATTGACAAGTCTATTTTCAAGCTGAAATAATTAGTATTAAATTTGATAATTTCAAAATGATACAACTTCAGTTTAAAATAAGTGCTTTTTATTGCATGCAGATATGTTACACATAAGGCTTTCAACAATAAACATGAGGTAAAATAAACATTTAACATGAAACAATGATAGTGCTCACTAACTAGTTTATAGATTTACTCTGTCAAAATTAGGCCTTTAAAAGTTTTTGTAAAGTATACTCAAGGATGTTCTTGATTCAGTCATGGAAAACATTGTTCTTCAGCTCAAAGTGGTCAACACTTTTTATGAAATGTCATACACGTTAATACATTGAGAAATAGAAAGAAGAGCAAACATTGAGAAATGTCCATAAATAATCTTACCACTAACAAAGGACAGTGCAGTGCTCGATAACTAACATGATAATTTAGATTAGCATTTAATAAAACAATACTTATGTGATTTCTACTTTTTGACAAGAATGTTGCATGCAACGGGACCTCGAAAGGTGAATCCCAGGTAGAAGGTAATGTTTTCATTACCATGAGGCACTGAAGGCACAAAGAGAGGCAGGATATTAAACTTCTTTTTCTGGGGGCCCTCAAGGTACACCACCCTGTCCTCCGTCCATCCAGAAACACGTTTCAGCATGGTGGCAATTTCAGGACTTTTCCAAGCCTCACCGCTGAACCACTTCAGGCGCTTCTCAGAGACTGAGAACCCCTTTGTGATTTTGTCAAACTTTCTCTTGTGGACAAATTTATCAAGCCCATTCCCATTTCCCAGGAAAAAATGGGTGTAGATCCTTCTTTTCCGCTGGGGAATGTCTTTCATCTTGGCCCAGTAGTCTTTTTCAAGGTGTTCAACAGCCGACTGCACAATCTCATATTTTCTTTCTCTCTCTTGGTCTGTATCATTATCCTCAGGCCAGAACAGCATAGTAAGCAAGAACAAGGCACTTGGAAAACATTTCCTTTTATCAGTTGGAAATTGGCGACAAAGAGCCTGTAGCTCTTTCAGTGGATCTGCTTTTTGTGGTTGAGGGGACAGACAGTTCAGGGAAATATGTGCTGCTATGTAATTGACAATATCCCTTTGCGTAAATTTGGCTTTTAATGGATTGCTGGGGTAAAGAGTAAGGATTTGCTCCAAACGACGTACTGCATCCTTTTGGTCAGCTAGTTTTGAGAGGATGGATATGATGTTCCCTCCCCCAAGATGATAGATAATCATGCGTTTCTGAAAAGGTGTAAGTTTGCTTTCAATCGCCTGGCATTTTTTCAGAAGCATAGCAGAATCTGCTTCACTGAAGTACTTGCCATATTCAGCAGATTTCTTTGCCAGCCATGTGAGTGGATGACTTATTTTTTCTTCAGGACTTTCAGGGGTCTCCTCTTCATCTCCTATGTCTGTCTGGAAATAGCTGAGATCCTCTGAAATCCATTCCAGGGCGTCTTGCATTGTTTTGTGAAGTTTCTTCAAACGGCCATGAAATGGTTCCCAGGCACGGTCGAGTTCCTCTGGGATGTAATCTGTTAACAAGTACTTCATACATTCAGCGTGGCCGTTGGTTCTGTTTGCAAACACTTGAAGAGAGGATATCAGTTTGAGTAGGCTGCATCCAACTTCGACCTCAGAAAAAAACCCAGAGCTATTAACATCTTCCATCTCTGCATTGGCTGCCCTCTCACATTCTTGAAAGCACTCGAGGGCTTTCAGGGCAGTCTCCACTGCATCCACTGTATCTTGGGCTGTCTTTGGTTTGCTCTCATTTTCTATTGCTTTGCATTTTGCTTGGAACCATTTTCTGTACACCTGCCCTTTTGTGTCCAGTATGTAGGAGTTATTGGGCAGCTGCTTGGCTGCTGTCTCCGCCCAGTGTTTTGCCTCTTCAAATTTCTCGAAAGTGTAATGAAGTCGAGCAAGCTGTTGTGCAAAGAATGCATCTTGATTGAAACACTCAAAGGCTTCTTTTAACAACTCAATTGCTTGGTTGGGGTTTTTCTCAATGTTACACACATGCTCAATAAGGGGAGAGAAGAAAGTATCAAATGCATCTCCCTTACTTATTCTGGACCGCCTTAGGAAGAGCTGTCTCAAAAATGTCAAATACTCCTCCCTTCCAAATCGGTGGTCAAACAGCACCTTCTCGCAGAGCAAATTCATTGCCAGTGTGCTTTGAGTCTGTTTGCCCCCCAGAAGTTGTTGCAGAATTTCTTTTGCAACAAGGGGGTGGATGATTCTGATTGATTCAATGTGTGTCTTGTCATCTCTGAGGTGCAAGAACACTAGCTTGGCCTGATCACTGAGTAAACTCTCAAACGCATGCTGACGGAATCTCTCTAGGTGAACGGTTAAGGCGAGCAAAGCTTCACAATGAGACTGAGAGATGAAAGAGTTCTGAACATACGTGTTCAGCAAAGCAACATAATGCATGAGACGAGTCACAACAGATTTCTGATCAATTTCCTGAAGTAAATGTTTCACAAAGCCTTGAATGTAATTTTGGGAGAATCCTTCACTCATCAAAACAAATGTTAAAATGAATGAAGGTTCATAGTGTTTCTCGAGAGTTTGTCGTTTACCAGCAAACTTTCTCTTTTCCTGATCAGACAGTTTGTGGGTTACAGACACATTCTGTAGCGGAGACTCTTTGCATTTTTTCTCTGGATCGTGGGAACGTCTGCAGCTCAACAAGATGAAGCAAAGGGTTCCATTCTGGATTTGCTTAATGTTCACTGCAACCTCCAGTTCATTCCTCAGATCATCTATATATTCCTTGTCAGTGTCTTCAAGAAGAAGCAACACAGGGAGGCACAACTGTGGATCTTTTTCTTCATATTCTCTTAGCTGTACAGCATGCTGAGCAACTAGGGAGGCCGGGTAAGACTTCACAACCGCACATCTCAGATCCTTCCTGTTGTGCCACAACACCTGTCTTGCCACAGTGCTACCACCACTTCCTGGGTGATGGTAAATGTTCATACAGTTTACAGGAGTTTGATCAGCGTTGAATTTCAAGACATCATTAAGAAGTCGGGCTGTCTCATGGTAAGCATCTCTTTCAATTACGTCTTCGACATGCTTGTGGTCAGCAAGCCAGAAATTGAGCCAGGTGACTCTCCCACCTCGGTAAAACTGCTGTTCAATGTTTTTTTTCTCCTCTTTGATGAATTCTTTGGTGCTTTCATCACAATGGTTAACGGTGAGAATTTCCAGAGAGTACATTTGCTCTTCTATCTGTGTTTCAAGAAGACATGTCCCTTTCACATAGACAGGCAGATGTTTCCTGACGTGTGCTTTGATGGGCTGTACATGCTGCAAGGTTGCATTAACGTGACTCATCTTCATCCCAACAATGCTTGAGTTGTTAACAGCGTCTTTTCCACAGGAACCCTCTGCAAAGCTCTGCCACTTGTGGTAGTTTTTTTCACATTCACATATACAGATTATGTCCTCATGTCCTTCCATGTCTGTGAAAAACTCATAAAACGTGTGCAAGAGTGGCTTTTCTACTGGGGATGTTAGCAGAAAAATGACTTGAAATGTCCCTTTTGGGAGGATTTGTTTACAAATTAGAGACACAGATTCCCGCAGGAAAGTCATTTTTGTCTTGATCCAGGTCATTTCATCACATGACGTTTCATTCCCTTTGAAATCAGAACGGCCATTGCAAAAGATCCAGCTCGTCTGCTCAAACAGATGCAGGTCGTTAGTGAAATCCTTTATGTTCATGCCAGCAGGCATTCTGTAGCTCTGCAGAAAATGCATGTTTGCAGCATGGTGCTCAAGGTACTTGCTGCACAGACCTGATATCTTTGAATCTGGGTCAAAGTCAAAAACACAGAACACATTCATGTTGAGCAGCCAGTCGATATTACTGAGGTCGCTGGATTTGAATTTGTTTGTGACTAGTATAAACCATTTGTCCTTTGTGATAAATTTCTTTCCACTGGTCAGGAGCATTGTGAGCTTCCTTCCAAGATCTTGGCAGATCTCTGGAGCAATGAGAAACTGCTTTTTCTCTGCTTCATCTCTTTGAGTGTCACGATCCTTGACTCTCTGGTAGAAATCCCCTAAGTCTTTGTCACTCACTGGCTCGGTCTTTGAGCCAACCCTTCGAAAAATCACTTCTTTCTCAAACTCTAATTTGTTAGTGGCCTCTTTAAAATTTGGCAGGCGGACGGTATACACCCTATTCTTCACAATGCTTAATAAGGGCACAATGTCCACCTCCACCACATATCTCTTTTCTGGACTTTCTCGATCCATAACTTCAATGAATCTTGGTGGCCGCACACACTGAAGTATTTGCTCTTTGTCAGAACGGAAACTTTTTTCACTGAGGTCTAAAGCATCTACAAAGATGTCCTTTTCTTTTATGGGAATCCCAATTATCTCACCATGCACATATCCTTCATTCTCCTTGCTGTCCATCACGCCAAAATGTATGGTGCCATTTGATCTGATATTCATGCAACCAGTTGCGAATTTAAAAACTTCCCTGGCAAACTTTGCTTGGAGTCTTGTACGGTCCAGTGTGGCAGCTGTAGCAAAAGACTTGTATTCATGGCAAGGAGATATTAAATTGAAAGCTCCTGATTCAGGTTGGAGGACTCTGTGCTTTAAGTACATAAAATCAATCTCGTCTTTATCAAACGGTCTTGGTTTGCAGTCCTCCTTTGAAGACAACACACATTCTTTCTTAACATTTTGTCTCTCTTTAGAAACTTCTCCATCTCTCACAGGAGATTCAGAACCTTCCTTTGTTGTTTGAGAACCTTCAACTGATTTTTTTTGCTCCAACTCAGAGCTTTTGTCTCTAATGACTTGTTTGTTCTTCTGAGAGTTAAGCAATGCATCTCTTTTTTGGATAATCAAATGAGCAGGTCCCGATTTCATGCGAATCTCTGTTTTTAAAAAGTTTTCTGTCAGAGTAAGCAGGGTTTGTCCATCGACTTCCTCTTCATGGAGCTTTTTTACATATTGCTCCTTCACTCCAATCGACTTTAGCCAGGCACTTACATCAGACTCAGTCCAGTTTACAGGTGACTTCTCAAGGTGTTCTGCTAAAAAGAAGAGATGAAAATAATTAAAGCTCTATTTTTTTCTTCCTTACGTGACATCATACAAAAGCAGAAGAAATCAAGCAAGATATAAGGCAGCTAACTGGATCTCTACAGATCAGGTTCATTCCTGGAGGTGAATTACCAGATGTCTGAAAGCACCACATTCATCAGTTACATGCAAATATGTTAGGTGTCATACCTTTCATGAAAAAGATGGGCTCTGTCTCAGATATGAATGTATTTAGGTGAAAAATTTGCAAATTACCTCCAGACAAAAAGCAAAAGGCCTTGATTAGAGGCTGGCTTAAGATAGTAAAACAGTGTTTAATGCAACGCAAGAAGACTTTATTACTGAAAAAGGGGAAAGAGGCCATTACTCCAAAAGCCAGATTACAGTTTGGCAAATGCATTCAGAGACACAGACCTACATTTTTGGAAACATGTCCTGATGAAACTAAAATGTAAATTTTTTTCTCACAATGACCACTGATGTATTCAGAAGGAAGAAGGAGAAAGTTTGGATTAACAATAACAATTGTATTTGTGGTGGGGGAGGCAGCATCAAATTGTACAAATGTTTTGTTGTAAGAGGGAGCGGTGCACTTTACATGATAAATTGAATCATCGGGAAAGAATATGTGGAAACACCTTGTGATTATCTTAAGAGTCTCAGAAAGTTTAGGGCTGGCCACAAATATGACTTCCATAAAAACAATGAACCCGAGCATGTCATCAAACTAGTTTCAAAAAGGCTGACTGACAACAAAATCTAAGTTTGGGCGTGGCCAACACAAAGCGTTAAACTCAGTCCCATAGAAAATCTAGCAAAGTAATAATCTTGACAATATTAACTGACCTAAAACCAGAAATGCTAAGTCAAAAATTTATGTTAGACAAGGAGAACAAAGGATTGAATGTCCCATGTATATATTAGGTTTCAACTGCGTGCAGGTAAACTTACCCATGGTTCTGTTTTTCTTTTTCACTTCATTTGTGACATTTGCACCTCATTATCTCCACCCTGCAAAAAATAATAAAATATCATAGCATAAAAATTTTTGAATGCATGAATGTAGCAAAGTACGATTTCCAACATCACACTGAGTCAAACGTTTAATTCAATTCACTATATTTGTCCCTGTGGGGAAATTTCAAGGCACAAGTAGTACAAAAAACACAAGAGTGATAACTCAACAAAATTAATAAAATTCACACATAAAAGTTTAAATATATGTACTTAGTACTACAGTAAACATGATGGTATCAGTGTTATGATCAGACACTGCTTTGATGCCTCAAGCGAGGAAAATCCTGATGGAGAAAGTTAAACAGTATGTGCTCAAAAATACAAAATGAAGGTTGTTCTTTGCAAAGAACAACCAGTTATTAGTTTAGGGAGGGGAACAAACATGGAGAAGCAGCCTCAAGCTTCTGTGCACCACAAATCTGGAACAAACTTCAAGAAAACTGCAAAACAGCCAAAACCCCACCCGTTTAAAGTTGCTTTTGAAATCTAATCATAAAACATTAATTAACAATCTGATGTGTAATGATTGCAAAATATAAAGTCGTTGACTGTGTGTTCTATGACTTTGTATTTTTGTGCTTTAATGATGTAAAGCTCTTTGAAATACTTTATTGCTGAAAGGTGCTATGCAAATAAAATTTGATTTTATTTGCATAGCCCCCACATAGGGCCACATAGTTTTTTATTAACAAATAAATGTAAACAAAAAAAGAATTAAGTTTTTTGGAAAACCTGATTCTCTATTTAGAAAAATTATCTGTCTGAAGCATTTGATGGGCAACAAACATTTGCAATCAGCAAATGAGAAAATACTCGTTCACAGGACTTTATGAGAGCAAACAATTCAAATCCTTATTGTTTACTTCTAGATGAAAGAAACAAACAAAATAACAAGCTGAACATAATACAAATCCTAAATATATTATATTACGGACCACAAAATGAGATAAAACTCCCTAAATGTACAGAAATACTCACTTTAGCAAATTTCCAGAGTGAGTCGTGCGTCGCATGAGTCTTTCCCCAAAGGCTATAAAAACACAGAGGATTATATGATGCGGAATGTTAAATATGGAAACAGATGAACAAACTCGTGTCTTACGTTGGATAGAAAACGCGAGAAATTCAGACGGTTTTTGTTACTTTGCTGCCCAGCGCGGCTCTGTCTGACCAACCGAGTCTTTTCTCTCCAGCTGCAACTGGAGTCTTCTGCCGGGCTGCGGACCCTACTGCGCATGCTCAGAGCCTCTGCTGTCTTGAGTTTCGGTTTTGAAGAAACTAACAGGGCGGGAGACACAAAACGTCATAACGGGGCAATTACAGTTCTACAGCATATGTTTACTGATGGGAGCTGTATCGAATCGCCTTCAGATAAAGAAACAAGCCTTTATCCAACTTTTTTTTTATTGCTACAGGCAATTGTGTAGTGGATTAATATTTTATATTAAAGAAACAAATAAAAAATTCTATTGGAATTTAGTATGAACTAGTACAAAGTGGGAGGAAAATGCTTTAACTTTTTCATTACTAAAAATCTGAAAAGTGCAGCATGCATTTTTATGGCGTTCCCCTGCAAGTAGCCGATTATGGGACCAAAATAGGTTGGAACCATCAGATTTTGTAGGTTTGTAGGATTGGCTCATAAAACTGCATGAAGAGAGGTGATCTAGCGTAAGATTGGGTAAAAACTGGGACTGAGCACTATAACAATTAATACCCATCTATGACCTATGTATCCAATTGTTATAGTTTAAATAGGTTAATTTAGTGAACCCAAACAGGTCCCATACAATCCTTAGAAAAAGAGCTCAATCAAAGTAGATGGAGATCACCAATATTGTTTTTGCACAGATTCTAAACTGGATTTAGGTTTGGACTTTGGTTAATTTTAGAGCATATTCTTTGACCTGAAGCTCAGAATGGAATTGTAGCTCTAGGTGTATGTTTACAGTCATTACCCTAGTGGAAGGTGAACATCTGCCCCAGTCTCAAGACCTTTGCAGATTTTTGGGCATTTCAAAAAATTTCCATAATTGCCCATCTCAAAAGTCGAGATGAGCACTTACAGTGTCCATCATTGCTAGCAGAAAAAAAAAACCCTCAAGAATTTTGATTTATCACAACATTAATTAATTATTCAATATTTTTGCAAGTATCAAATCTAACAGTATGGCAAGACTGCCATTTTTGGCTATTTTATCCACTAGTGGTTCCATTAGAGTACCAATACATACCAATATGACTAAAATAATAAGATTGAGTGCAAACATTTATGCCGTTTCATGGTACAATTATAAACCTTATATTACTAATGTGCTTAATTTATTAAAATAAAAAGCATTCCCTAAGCATGATTCTACCAGCACTGTGCATCAAAATGAGGGTAGAATTTTATTATCTATTTAGAGAAAAATGTTATTAGCTTTAGCACATTCCTCCTCGTGTCCCTACATGGCTAACATGACTTATGAGTTAATCTGACTCGGTGGAAAAGTGGATGGCAATCATTTAGTTTTCAGCCAAGTTGAAACCATAAACACTTGATGGGTACATTTTTGATTTACCATTTTATCTAGACAAGATGAAAAACAAAAAAGTTTATTAAAATATTTTGGTGTTTTGTGCAATCTTGAGACACATTTGCCACCATTAAACAGGGAGGACCAATTTATCCAATTTGGTACCAGACAGAAACAGAGGAAAAAAAAAAAGGGCAACAACTCTAACTTGCTCTTACAAATCTGAATCCAAACAGTGCAAAACTTAGTGTGGTTTAGATCCCAACTTCATATGAAGTTAAAAACAAAGAACCTGCTCTTCCATTCGTACACCCTTCTTTTTAGTCCACAATACATAAACATATTTCAGTTTGCTTCAGGCTCTGGTTGTTGAATTCTCTTTTTATCTCCAAAGCACATCAATATTTCTGCCAAATAAATTCAAAACCCTTCTAAAACCACCATAATTTAAATTCAAAACCTACATCAAATAAAATAAAAGAATAATCAAAAGAACAAATATAGGCGTAGACATAATCTATGAAAAATGTGGCATATTTGAAAAACAAATGTAAAGTTTAAAAACAAATTTCTAAAATCTTGTAGCAACCCTGTAAGACACAAGATGAACCAGCAAGAAAAATACGAGTAGAAAACAATAAAGAATTTAATATGTGCAAGTCATCAACATCACTGACACTAACAAGAAGTCATACGTTACCATTTTCTGGCTTCACTTTTTAAATCATTCTCAACATCATGATGAGGATTAAATCATTTCCTGGATTCAGATACTTTGGAACAGTCTGAGTCAGCAACACAGATCAGATTCTAGCAGCATTTAGTGAAATCAAGCACATGAAGCATACCGTAGTCTGTTTAATGCGCAAGACCCATGCAGCACAGTGATGGGTTTATATTTATAATAAAATGTTCTTTTATATGTATATATATATAAAAAGGCACGCAGGTCACATTAAGCAATTTATGACCCAAACTTTAAAATTTTCTGTACAAATCTATACATACAGCATCTTCAGCAAATACCCTTACTGAAGAAACAACATTGCACAAGAAAACTACCCAATAGTTCAACATCTGCAGACATTTCCCACAACAATGAGCAGAGAGCTTTTGGACACTTTTTTTGCACTGTGTAATAAAATAAAATAAGAATTAAAAAGCAATTTCTTTGTGCAGTCCAGCTACAAGAAAATCTCCAACACCTTGTAGGCAGTTAGACGTCTGAGCGGAGACGGACAAACCTGAATCCAGACCAGCAGAAGGCACTTTTGTTTCGTATGCGGCGCTTGTGTGCGACTCCAGGCACTGCAGGCCTGGACCTCACAGCAGCAAACCCCTGAATGTTCTCCACTGTTTTAGGCAAAGCTCCCTTAGTTCTGGGTCCACTTTAGCTTTGGCTCAGTCCGCACTGGCGTTGTTGTCCAGGGTAGTGAGTACCTCCGGCCTGAGAGGAACCGTAGGCAACTGAGAGACATTTTCACAGGGAGGAGTCAGCTCCAGGTCGTCTGGGTGAGCCGCATGAACGGGAAAGTCTGAAGGTACCGGATGCTCTCTGGACGAGGGCAGCGACTGCCCACACAGTGTCAAAGGAGTCGATTCCTGTGTTTGCAACGTAGGTAGTGTGTGATCTGGCAGGGGTGGGGGGCCTGGCTCAGTGAGTGTTTGCAAACCCTGGGTCTGTGTTTTTTGCAGCTGCTCTGCAGTCGGGTAATAAGGCAGGAAAGGCCTCTCAGGCGCACACGTCCTCATGGCGAGATAAGTGTGCATCAAGAGGTGAGGAAAACGTGACGTGAAGTACGAGACAAAGTCGTCGGGGATGGAGCCCAGGGTCTCCTGTACCTCGACAGGCAACTCTCGGTAATGATGTTTCTGTTGAGATGAGAGAAATCCTCAAAACTACGGCACTGAGGAGTTTGATTATTTTAAATCATGCAATAACTGTGCCTCACCTTGTTTCTCATTGCGCGCAGAAGGTCTCTGACTGACCCGCCCTTATAGGAGCGAAACTTCCGCAAATCTACCACAAAGAGAAAAATCAAATCCACTGAGTGTTTTACAAAATGAATCCTTTATGGGGTTAGAATGAATGAAAAAGGCCAGAAATTTATGTTTTATGCTTTATTACAAGAGCTTTTTTTCAGTGAGTCAGTATCAACTCCATCAAAAGCCAAAATATTTTTCTCATAAAAAAGGTGTACATTTATTATGTAAAGTTATTATGGCTCCACTGAGTTCAGAAGGACCATCGTCAAGCTGAGACATTAAAAAGTTGAATGTTGATTTATGGCTCTTTAAACAAGAAACAAAACATTTGAAAAGGTCTTACTTTACATTACAAAACCCTGATAAAAATATATTTTGTATACTTTTGAGATCATTGGTAAATGATAAACAACCCAGTCACTACTTTTTTGTTGTTTTCATGACTTGAATATAAAATAGTGGTTCTGCAATATTTAATTAATCAAACCACTGTTCTAGGTTTTGATCCTCAGTGTGGCACTGCAGACAGAAAGCTGCCTACTTCACAGACTTCTTCTTTCCTGTGACAGGAAACATTCAGCCCCGTCTGTGAGAGCAAATCAAAGAACTACGACACCCAAAATGAAACCGCACCACATGTAAGAGATCAAGGTGCCAAACAACACCACACCAAATAAGGCGACTTCTTTAGAAGATGCTTAATTGCGGTATAGCTTTCACCGTTTAATCAGCCTCATCATACCTGTCTGCAGTGGCACCGTGATGTGCTCTCTCCAGTCGCCTTTGACAACAGCCCTTCCTCCTCGCTCCAGCTGCCTCACGATTGGTCCGTCCAGCGGCTCCTTTTCTATTCTGTCACTCACATCCTGCCAAAAAAATAAATAAAAATAATTGTGATTTTAATCTGCAGCAATATAATAAGGCTGGATAAAATGACCTAATGGATCACTTTGTGCTGTGCTCTAATTTGAAACGTTTAAAAAAAATACATTGGAACCACGTAAATACCTCTGGAGATATGTCGATGGCGATGAATTTTTAGGAGATTACACTTATATATTCCGGAAAAAATGTGCCTTGTACAAAAACATTTTTTTGCTAGCATTAAGCATTAAAATACCAAAACAATACCAAGTCAGCTGGTCTCATACTCCGTTTGACCACGTACATTCATCTGCATTTATGTAATATAGTACAATCAGTCTACGTATGGCAACAAATGTTGCTGCTTCTCTCCACAAAGTGTTCAGGATTGCAGAATCCTGGTTGTAAAGACGTCCAGTGTGTGAAAAGAGCCCAAACCTGGAAGAACTGCAACTCCTTCTCCAGAGTCCAGAAGAAAGGATGTTTGAGAACACTTTCAGCTGAAGGTCTTCTCTGGGGATCCATGCTCAACATCTGTTCTATGAGATCTCTGGCAACAATTTCACCTAGGAAGATACAAAAAGAAGAAAACAAAAAACAAATCTGTTGAGTTAATTATGAAAAGAGAATTTTTTTTTGCTATTCTGAGAACTAGCAACAAAAACAAACTACTTTACTCCTCTTGAGTGCATCTCTCACCGTGTTTGTCACTTTGCAGATAATCAAGACTGTATCCTCCCAGTAATATATTTGCCTGCCTCTGGAGAGACTTCCCAAAGGGGTGACTTCCCTGAGAAACCACGTAGTAGAAGACACAACCGGCAGAGAAGATATCCACCGCATAGGTCTACAGGGATCACATTAAAAGAGTGACACCACAGTTTGAGATGGCTTCACAGGAAAACACTACGATACATTTCAGTAGTAACAGCTGTGACAGATGTGCAATTGCATTCTTGACTCACCGGGTTGTCCTTGAAGTCCTCACTGAGGACCTCTGGAGCAATCCAGCCCTCGGTCCCTGGAACCCCAGACCTTCGACTGAAACTGTGACGTCCCACCGCCAGCTTCTTACACAAGCCGAAGTCGGAGATCATGGCGCGGACTCGGCCGTGTGCGTTCGGCATGGATACCAGAATGTTGTGGGGCTTCAGGTCTCTGTGTACTAGAGGGACAGGGAAAATTATGTTTCAACATAAAGACATGAAGAAAGGGAAATAATTTTAGGTTTGAGAGACACTTACCTATTTTGAGGGAGTGCAGATGGGCTAATCCAGACATGGTCTGCTGCAGGAGCATGACTGGCTCAAGTTCATGACGGTTGAAATCCTTTTTCTCCACATACTAGCAAGAGGAAAGGAAAGGATATTGAAAATAGAATAATAATTTACAATAAAAAGCATTCTGCGGAGAAAACGTTTTGATGGGAATTTTTTTCTTCAGGGTGGTGAGATGGTCAGCCTTGGCTTGGATGAGGCTTTTAACTGCAGCCCATTCATTTTCAATAGGGCTGAGGTCAGGGCCTTTATAGAAGTTTATTAGCCAACTTTATCCATGGATAAATTAATTTTAGGGGGGTAATTGTCCTGCTGGGATGCAGCAGGACAATTTCAACAAACTGACAAAAAACTATCACCCTCATATGAACAGAAACTGGTCAACACATTTAGAAGCATCCCAAGAATCACCAAAGGTCAAGTCCATCATACACTGGAAAGTGTAAAAACTTTCTACAGTGAAGTGAGTTCAACATCACTATAGATTGAGAGAAAGAGGGAACAATGTTGCAAGACATTTTATGTCTCTTTTTTTTTTTTTTAAATAAATGTGGGTACATTTCAAACCCACAAATAAACACAAAACAAAAAGACATAAAAATAAACCAGAGGGAAAAAACAAGTAAATGAATGAGAAAGGGAGAGCTTTCCACAGTTTAATTGTATTAGCTTGTTAAAATGTGTTAACAACCAACACGTATCAGCATCAACCTGTAATGGAATGGTAATAGGTTCTATTAGTCATTTTAATAACATTAATATGTTTGTTCAAATGGTGAGAGAAAGAGCAGACAAACTCATGACAAATAACAAGTTGGGAAAAAAACCTCAATCATTTGTCTTATCAAATGCATTGAGGAGAGATGTAAGATTGTCATTCATAACAGGAAGTTATGTTTCCAATAACTCCAGTCTGGTTGGGGTTTAAATTATTAGTCTTAAAATGATAAGCAATAGTGGGCAATAGCTGGAGGTAGTGTGGGATATTAAACAGGCTTGAGGATAAGTTTATGTTAACATAATTCATATTTGAAGAGAATATCAAGATTTCCTGAATTTCTCTGAGCATCCTTTATAATTTGGAGACCAACAGTGACAGTGAAGCTTTCAGGTCTAGAAGCTCTGCCACTGAGCTCACTTTTAACGGCACCTTAGGGTTCAGCTGTTGTTAAAGATCAGAAGAATAACTATTTAAAAAAAACAAAATAAAAAAAGAAAAATACACGATTGATTATTTACCTCCTGAAGCGTGGCAGCACACAGCTCTATGGCGATGTACTGGAACTGGCGGTCCCGCTCGGTGCAGAAGTAACGGATAACATTTGGATGCTCATCAGACTCTCTGAGTAGCTGAACCTCTCGGTCTGCAAAGCTGAAGCACTCTGGGAGAATTCTTTTCACCGCCACTGGACGGTTGTCAAACTGCCCCCTGTTGGAGAAAAAGCAGAAATGTAATACTGTGATGTGAGAGAATATTTGAAATTTTACTCTGATTCCCTTACTTGTAAACCATAGTTCCTTCGGCACCATGGCCCAGCACTTGTTTGGGGTGGAAGATAATGTTGCCGACTCTGACTGTAGAGAAGTCTTCCTCTGACAAAAACACATTTCAAGCAGTGAAAACAAAGCCACAACAATCCAGCTGATGTACAAACACAGAATTAGAGCCTTACCTCCATCTTCATGCTCATAAATTGAGCTGCCCACCTCAGACACAGATAAGTTGGAGTGGTTGGAGGCACGGGGGGTGACGTTGGGGCTGCTGTGGTCTGAACAGTCAGAGCGAGTGCGAACCACGTCCAGGAAGTCGGCGTCGGGAGCCAAACCCACATCTGCAGGTGAGAAAGGCTGCTGCCGCTGGAGCAGCTCCAGCCGCTCCTCCATCTGTCTCTGGAACTCCTGGTGCTGCAGCTGCTGCTGCTTTTGCACACTCTGTCATAAAAAAAACAACAGAAAACATAAAGGATGCAACAATTACAAAACGTGTTCTTGAACTTTTTTAAGCCATTTGAGAACTAATACATACATTTGTTATTATATAAAGCTAATAAAAAGTCAGCAAGTACAGTTTCCACAGAGAAATGCTGAGGTATCTCCACACTCAAGCACCTTGTCCTCTTCTTATGAAATTTTTATATAAATTGTTCAGTCAAATTTAATGAAAAAAAAAAAAAAAAAACAATTGTTGGCATCCCTTATAAAGATGTGTGAATAGCCTTTAAATATATATATATATAAAAACACAAATGAAAATCCACACATCTATTTGCTAAAACAAAGATGTTAAATAATTGATATATTAAAGGTGCTTGCTGCATGGAACAGTTAAGCCTGTGGCAATAAGCAATAATTCATTTAATCAAATGCTAAATTAAGACGAGCTCAATAATTTCTGTTTGCATGATTGTTTGTTTTTCTCTCTTTTTCTATCAAAGACTGGATAACAAAAAGTGCATTGGTCTTAATTAGCCTCTTTTTGGAAGGACAATTTTGTTTTTATTTGTTGTTTTTGTTGTTTCAGGTGTCTTGTTTATTTATTTTGAATCTTGAAAATATCTTCCAGATTGTGTTAAATGTTCATTATAAATTACATTTTATTGATGTTTGAGAGGGTGTACTTGCATTACTATGCCATTATCATTTTATGACCTGAAAATGGTCACAAAATAACAATATTTTCATTTATCGCAATAATTTATTGTCCAGAAAAATTGGTCATTATGACAGAACTCTACAAGGTTTGCAGTTATTAGTTACAGCTGTGACATAAATCCTCTATAATAAGTACATCTGATGCTTTAGAAAAGGTAAAAAAAACATTTCTTACCTTGGGGTAGATTATAACAAAAGCCACCCAGCCGGCGAGAAGGAAAGTGGAGAAGATGATGGTGGCCATGTCTTTCAGCATGGAGTCCACAGGGGCCTCTGAGCGCGCCGTGCGGCTGCTGGTCCCCGGTTCCTGGATGGAGGTTGAAGGCTGCCTATCGTCCATGCCACTGTCATTGACCTTCTGAAGACAGGAATCAGAGGAGCAGGAAAGATGTTAAACAGAATAAGAAGTGCATTTTACTCTGCATTTTTCACACACACGAGATGACCCGAACCTCCTCTCCTTTCTTATCCGTAGTAGGTGGGATGACGTTGCCTTGGTTACGAGGGAAGTTTTCAGGGAATGTTTCCAGGATCTTGGTGTGAGCCTCAGGGGGCGTTTCATGGTGACCTGAAAACGGAATACAGAAAAAAACTTTACAAACAAAGAAACTCAAGTCTAAAGTATCCAAAACACCTACAGAAACATATTCATTTCAACCAAACAATGAATTTATTTTTAACGAAAACCAGTTTAAGGAGTGGAGACTCCACTCCTCATCACACCGGGTTACAAAGGTGCCATCAACTTTAGAAGAATATTCTTATGAGAATGTGTTGATAAAGTACCATTAAGCAAAACTTGTTTTCTTCAGGTGCAGTAAATATAAAATGAAAGAGAAAAGAGTCACTTTCCTTATTTCAAACGCAAAGTTATACTTTAAATCAGGGGTGCCCAAAGTCGGTCCTCGAGGGCCAGCATCGTGCACATTTCAGTAGCATGTCAGTGTTTTTCTTAGGGTTTCTAATGAGCCATCATTTGATCCAGGTGCATTAAACCAGGGAGAGAATTAAAACATGCAAGACGCCAGCCCTCGAGGACTGACTTTGGGCACCCCTCCTTTAAATTGTCCCATGTTAATAAAAGTCAGCGCCATGAATACAGCCAGCAAAACATGAAGGCAGCTGAAAAATGGAAGGTAGACTTTTTATTTGAGATTTTAAAAACAGATTAAACAAGCATTGGTAAAGAACAAATTATTGCCAAAACATTCCACTTCTGTTCAGGCTAATATTAACAATACAAAAACATTTCTGCAGTTCCATCACTCACCCAGTAGGTGTCAGGCCCCATTAAACTGAAAGCATAAACATCATTTCTAAGTTCTGATTAAGTGCGTCGTCTTTGGCTAAGTGTGCCGACATCAAAACTTGTGTAGGAAAGTGCATTTTTAAACCACTACAAAATGACACCAAATCTCTTTTTCATCCCCCAGCTTCAAGATAAGCAACTAAAGATTTTAACAGCTGTGATTTGTTTTGTGCCGTACCTATGAGAAGCAGATAGTTCCTCATAAAATTGATCCGGTTTCTCTCTCGGAGGCCAGCGTTGAATTTCACACTTGTGCTGGGAGTGATGACACACTCCTTATCCTCCTCTGTCTCTTGGCTATTAGGGCCTTCCAGCAGGGGGAAGGTGCTTCCACGAGGCTAAAGACAAACACGCACTTCCTGTTATCAGATCCCTCATGAGTTTCTATGAAAAGGAAGTCTGTAGAAATAGCAGCCTCCTACTTCAAACAAGTCTCAGTTTATTAACTAAGAAACAACTGAAAACCTTGGCAGAAATCAAACTTCATGCAAATATATAAAGACCTGATTGAAAAGTAATCTAAATCATGGCCATGTTGTTCACGTGATCAATGTTGCACTTGATTTAATATGCAGATTGTGCTCACCACCACTGTGACTCCATCATGCACCAGAGAGGGTGATGCATACAGGCTAGTGGAGTATTTGCCCACATATAAAGTGGCCCTGAAAAGAACAAACAAAAATAAAAACGTCAGTTAAATCTGTTACTTTATGGCCAAAAATATTTAAACTTGTTTGGCAATAAACTGTGCAGTGACACACATAAAATCTTGTCAAGCCAAATGACAAGGCTAAAACAATTCAGATGTTTTAGCCTGGTTAGACCAGGACCAACGAGTCCAGGTCTAACATTTCAGATTTTCCCTCCAGGCTTTTGGAACTTTATTTCCACAGAAGAAATATATGATTTACTTCAATTTGAAAAGAGGTCTCTGGAAGCTCCAATTCCAGCCAAAGATGTGATTTTTCAACCAGCCATTTTCCTTCTACTTAACTTTCCATTAATTTAATTAATATTAGAGTGATCGACCAGCTTTTTAGCTACATTACATAGCTTATTTATTTATCACTGAACATATATGTAGTTCCATTTTAAAATGGAACTAAATACATAAGAAAATGCAGATGATAAAATAAAAAAATAAAAAATAAGGCAAATTAAGCAAAATAATTACTTACATAAATTTATTTTTGGGTTTTTTCTCCTTTGGAAACGGATATTTCCACTGGGTTATTCGTCCTACCTCTCCGGACATGAAAGTGAGGTACCGCAGTGTTTCCACGGCCACGTTGGTGTGGGGAACTTTGCGAAGACCCTCCCGCTGCCATATGTACATGGCCACCACTGGAGAATTGTAGTTCTGCACCCACTGAACGTCTCCCGTCTCACTGTCCACGGTCACCACGAGGCCATCGCCGTTGGAGACAAAATGAGCCATTTCTGTGGAGGGAACAACGAGATGCAATTAGCATGCCCAGTTAAGCCAACAGCGAGAGTTTAGCTAACAACGAGCATGCGTTAGTAGGAATCTTACTGTATTTCAAGTCGTCATCAGGGAGAGTGGAGGCATAGTCGGAATAGGTGGCATTCCAGCGCAGCTCTCTGTTCTTTGTGTCGTACATGGTGATGGTGTACTCTAACAAAGACAGAAAAATGCTTGATTACAGAAGCAGCACACACATCCAGGGTTTCACTGTCAGTTTTGTTATAAAACTGCAAACCTGAGTCGTGTAAAATTTCCTTAACAATGCCCAACAAAAGCTATTGTGAGCTTTCAGCTTGCAAACACTCTTAGCCCCTTAAAATTTAAGAAGATAATTATTGAAGAGGTTGTTGTCTTGTTTGGAAGTTAAATAAATTGGCTGCACTAATGAGCAACGATCTTATAACAGTGTCACCCAAAAAAAATGAAACCTTCTGGTAAACTAGATTAAATCTTGTGTGTCATAGATTCTGGTTAGAATTTAAAAAAAACAAAAAAAACAAAACAAAAAACTGCTGCGCTAGTTTTGTTTTTACCCGTTCGTCCCAGATAGAGAAGGGATGAAGACGGACAGAGCATTTCAGCGAAGGACGACGTCAGTGTCTGCTGTTTTTCACCTGTTAGCAAATCCACCACATACCACAAGTCTTGCTTTTTACCTAAAAGAGAGCACATACACATACACACAGGAAACTGATTAGTTGGGTGATTTCAGGTTTCACTGCACCTGGCGATAGCAATCTTGCAAAACATTTTTGTCACGTTACAAACTTCAATGTACTTTGTTGGGATTTTATGTGGTTGACCAACAAAGTAAGTAAATAGTTTGTGTTCAGCCTCATCTAGTCTGACACTCCTAAATTAACCCTGATTAGTAAACTGATTCCACCTGTGCTCAATTTAATCTCAGTATAAATGCAGGGGTTGAAGGCTTGTTAGAGAATAAAGACCATCCTGGAGACCAAAGATCTCAGCAAGCAGATCAGGGAGAAGTTTAAAGCTGGATTAGAAAACAAAAACAGAAACTGGTGAAAGCTAATGATAAGATGGGTGGCAATATTAAAAAAAAGGAAACACTAGATACAAAACCTGTTGCTGGCTGGAAAATACTTAATACTTCCTTTCAATGAGACTGAATTTAATCAATTTTGCAAAGAAAAATAGGTTAAAATGTCCCTACAGTCAGAGACACACCCAAAACAGCAAGACTTTTAAAATACTGCTGATCCTCAATAAAACACATTGAGGTTTGTGATTCTAATGCATTCAAATGTTAAATTGTTCCACTTGCGAAAAATCCAATTTATAGCTGTCCTGATTAAATGAGGCACTATTTGCAAGACCAGTTATTCAAAATAACCTGCGACAGTTTAACCTTCATGTTAATGAGTTTTATCATTCCATAGTGAGATAGTCCCTCAAAGTTTTGCATTTACACTTTATGCAGTATTTTCACAAAATGTGAAGCCACATAAAAAGTAGTTATCTATTAAACTATTCAACCAGAAACAGTTTGCACCTATATAATTAAATATCCTGACTGATGATGATTGTAAGCAGGCAAATGTGACTAGCTTTTGTTCAAACAATGGCAGATCAAAGATCCTGTGTTAACACTTAAAAATTCAAAAGAGCTGAGACAGTAGATTTAGTGGAACCAGAAGACAATGTGTTGTATTCTGCTGAACCCAGATAACACCCACTCCTTTATGAAAGGTGAGGAGTATAAGCCGATCCACAAACGTGTATGATGAACGTGCATGCCATGACCACATGTAGTGTGGCTAACTCAAAGAGAAATTTATGAATGGGTTTTACCCATGTAGAGGATTCCGTCAGAGCTGCGACACGGTGAGGCTTGGACCAACTCAGGGATGGTGAAAGGTAGTTTCTGTTACAACAAAAAGCCTCAAATAAACATTGGGGTTTTAAGGGTCAACACCAAAATATAGCACCACGTAGTATAAACCACCACAGCTGCAAACTCATAATGAGAAAGCATGACTATTTTTCTACCGAACAAGGAACTGAGCGGTGGTTCACACCAAAGACGGAAGATTAAATGCTTTGACAAAACGCATTTCCTTTTACCGTGAGGCCTTCGTTGTTCTTTCCACCCAGAGAGTACAGGCTGCCGTCGTTGGGGTCCGGCAGAAACGCTGGTCTGGACAGAAGAGTAAAGGCAACAAGTTTATTGTTAAACCACAGATTGAGCTCAATTTGTGGCAATACTAAACAACATACACCGTCTTTTGCTACATAAAGATACAGTAGAACACAGTGTCTTGAAAAAGTATTATTAAAAAATGTTAAGTTTTATCACATTTTGCCACTTTACAGCCATAAATGTGACAGGCCAGCACAACATGAACTGGAACAACCAGAAATTGTGTCATTTTTTGAACCAATAAACATGTAAAAAGTTGAAGGACTTAAACTCAGTCAGCTCAGACTATCAACATCTGCAAACATCAATTTTCAAGTCTGGTTGCATGATTAGAGTGATTGTCCTTTTGAAAGCAACCTCCACCACAGTCTGAAGTCTTTTACAGTCATAGTGGTTTGTTTTCCCCAAGGATTTTTAGACATGTTTCACTGTGAGAAAGGAAGATTTAAACCAAGCCGCTGAGGCCTTCACAGAACACCTGGATTTATTCTGAAGTTAAATTACTTTTCTGTTAATTAGATGGCTTTTAAAGACAATTGGTTGCACTGGATTTTATTTATTCACAATCTAAATGCTGGCTATCTTAAAAAAATATTTTGTATCTTATGTGACAAACTTTTGGAAAGACCAGTGCGTTTAATGGGTGTGAACACTTTTGCAAAACATTGTCTTTTTTTTTCCGTTTGTATCAAACAAAAGAAAAAAAAAAAGATAACTTGGATACGTACTCTGCTACATGTGTCGGGACCTGAAGAACTGGATCTGTGAGGACACAAAGACAATAGTCAGGACTGACAGGAATATCATCTGGCAGACGAAAACATGGCCAGTGGCCGTTGAGTAAGTGAGCAACATGAACGCTGGAAACGTCGGACTGCAGAGGACACAAAGTCTAAGTGGACATGCAATCCCCAGTGGCAAACATGAAGGGCAAACAGATAAGCTTTCTGTGAGTAAATTAGGCATGACACACCAGCAGTGAGAACAAGAATAACAGTCATTCAATGTGATCGGAACATCAAAAAAACCGTCCGACTGACCTATCCCAGTCTTGTCTTTTAGCAAGACCTTCAGCAAAGTCTTGCTAAAATTTGTCCTCAACAACAAAAAAAAAAGATAATAATCTTGTTGGGAGGAGCCTCCATAAGATTTCTTCCATCTTTCAACGGGGTTACCAAACCAGTCAAACCCCAAACCTGAAGTGTCTGTTGCAAAAAGACAAACATACAAAACCCATCAGTGTGAACAAACTGGGTGTGGAGCAGGTGGAGCTGTACGGTGTCCACAATGGCACGGGTTAGGTGTGAGATAATTCAAAGATGGTAAATTACAGTTTTATTCAGTAAACATTAGTCTTCAACAAATGTTTATTGGGGGTTACATCTGACTGGCTGAAATATAAATACATGTCTGCAAAGAGAGAAGGGAGCAGCATTATGACAGGTTTGATATTAATCTGCACTGTTCAATATTGACAAATGTGGAAGATTTCTGCTTCCCTCTCATTGTTTCCTGACTGAAATGCAACAGGTGTGTGCAAAGCCTGGTGAAATTTATATTCAGTAGCCGTTCCAGGAGAACAGATGATGCGGAGGAGGCAGCCTCTGCCTCACCGTCGCAGATTTGGTTATTGAGTGCAGCCAGGCAGGATTACAAGCATGACCTAAATTTGTTTTTACCTTTAAAAAAAAAAAAAAAAAGCAAAACAAAACAAGTCAAGCCTAAAAGAAGTTCACAAAAGTAGGAAAATACACATTTAAAATTGTTAGTTTCTAACAAGACTATAAGAAAAAGACCTCTAAAAATCTTTCTTTCGCTAGTTTTCCAAGCCTCATTATGTGCAATTTCAAAGCATACAGCGCCTTACGATGGTAACCATGGTGCGGGCCATGAGTGCAGGTGACACTACCGTAAAGTTGCTGACCCTGGCCCACTCAGACCTTTGTGGCCCTGGCCCACTCAGACCTTTGTTAATAATTACCCGCTTCCCAATGCCAAGAGAACCTGAATGAACAGCTTCTTCTAGCACCGTCTAAAAACAAGACTTGACTACACAATAAAAATAGGATTAATAAATCTAGGCACAAAGGCAGTATATACAGCTCTGGAAAAAAAAATTAAGAGACCACTTAAAATGATCAGTTTCTCTGATTTTACTTTTAGATATGTGTTTGAGTAAAATGAACATTGTTATTTTATTCTATGAAATTCCAAGCAAACATTTTGCACTTATTTGCAGAAAATGAGAGACGGTCACAATAACAAAAAAGATGCAGTGCTTTCACACATCAAATAATGCCAAGAAAACAAGTTCATATTCATTTAGAAGCTAAAATGCTAATATTTTTCTCAAGAAGAGTTAAGAAATAAACATTTGGTGGAATAATCATGAGGTCTCTTAAATGTTTTTCAAGACTGTAAATATGTTTTTAAAGAAATACAATTGATTCAACACATAATGACAAGCTCTGTTTTTAGATTCCTGGGGTAGGAAGCATTAGAAACTCCTAATTACCCGGGCTAGACCAGACAATCCAGGGAGAGATACCAATTACATTGCATAAAAATGTTCAGGTGTGGACATGCTGTAAGGACAGTTCACATTAAGTAAACACAGTAAAATGTTGCCACCAATTTGATCAATTTATTGCTTTGCTCCAATGAAAGCTGCATCCCAACAAAGCAAAACAAGGATTCCACTGTTTTCAACCGGGCATCAGGACAACAATTGTACTTTGTGTTTGAAATGCAATAACAAGAATAACAAGAAGAAGACCATACAAAGACTTTAACTTGACATCAGTCTTCTCCTCTTACCTTCTTTCAGAGTCCACTTGATAGAGCCAGACCTTTTGCTAACGGCATGCAGGTTTCCATCCAGGGTGGACACAAAGAGCAGGCTTTCAGGAAGGGCAACTGTGCTGGCGCTGCAAAATCCCTACAAAAACAGAAAACAGCTCAAATAAATTATCATCATGCAACACTGACAGGATGTCTGGTTCTTAACCGGTAGATGTGTTTATGCATGCATCCTGGCATTTAAATCCCCGGGTTAAGTTAGAACATGCGCGCCTGCATTTGGGCAGTGGATAAGTCTGTAATCGCTCAATTATTACTCAGCATCACACACAGCAAACAGCATCAAAATTTTGAAATAATCATGTCATGATATGAAGACATCTGGCTCAGGACAACAGACTTGTGTTAGCTGGTCTATTGTGCTGCTGCATGGCTTAAAGCACAAACTAGAGCAAAGGGCAACAATGGAGAGGAAAATGTAACATGCTGAAATCATTCAACCTAAATTCTCATATTGTGTACTTTCCAACTGTAATCAAAAACAATGTCACTTAAGGGAGAGTTAGGAGTGGGGCTCCTTTAGTTTCCATAACATGTTTGTGTGTTTATCACTACTGCATATATAAGCAGCAGAACTTGGCAATGTGCAGAAGGGGCAGTGCTCCATACAGCCACCAAAAAAATTTATTCATTCCTGAATTTCTCTAGTTACTCAACAAGTACTTTAATAGGGGCCTATTCTCGCACAAATGTCTACATGCTATAAAAAGCATGTCTGTTGCATTTCTTTTCACAAAATCATTCTTGGATTATCAGATTTCTCCTGCTCAGTTCTGCCTATTTTTAGCTCCTTTCACAATTAGCCATTTTAAGGCTCTTTCACTTAAAATCAAAATGAGCTGCTGCTGGCCACACCTCCTAACTCTACTGAAAATTCTGCACCTAACCTGTGTTCCTACTCAGAAATTCTGACTTGGAAAAATCAACTGGAACACTCTCTGAAGTTGGATTCCCAGCTGAGAAAAGGGAGCAGCTCTTAAGGCCTAGTTTCCCAGCCAACTTGTAAGGTCGACTTTGTGTTTCAATATGGCTGCTTCTCACATCTACAATGGTAAGATGTAGAGGAAACATTTATTTCACGTCTAAAATTAATGTTACGTGTGTAACCTGCATCTCCAAAATGAACTCATTAAAAGTGTTTTTTGCTTATGGAAAGAAAGCTTAAAATGATTACCTAATCAATCTGTGCAAAAGGAGCTAGAAGACATGCAATGTGGAAGGTTTCTAACACATTGTGTCTCCAGCTTTAAGGTTCAACCATGCTATACTGGTATGGATGGCTGGTAAATCCTTACAGGGTAAAAGTTACATTCCTGCCTTCCAGTAGATCTTGTAAAGTTGGTTTTGTCTTTTGAAACGCATCTAAGGATTTTGCCAAAAGAGCTCTTCAAGTTTAGCACACACAGCTGAATAGTGGGCTGGCAGCCCAGATGGACACTCCTCTCTCCAAGCCCTTCAACGCCTACTCACATACAAGGAATACTGGAGCGCACATGGCACCAGGGGCAGGGTCTGCCTCAGATAGAGCCCTATCTGGACCACATAGACTACCACTAACAGTTACAGAAAGGGATCTAATCTAAGCATGGGCAGGTGTGAGATTTTTGTTTATTTTCTTTTTTAATCTGGATTAAAAATGCCAATCTATTCAGCAACAGTTCTGTTCAAAACTGTTCTTGTTCAGCTCTTCGAAGAGAAGCGCAATCATAAACAGGCAGATGGTATCTGGTTAATTAATCAGGTTATCTGCTCAGGTAGCCTGCAGTTGGCTACAAGCATGTTGCTATGCCAGCATTAGTTTTTAAAACTAATATAATAAGAATGCCCTGGTTCTCTTTCAGTTTTCAGACATTGACTCTCAGTGTTTTCCAGAAACATTTTCAAGTAGCTGAATTCGTCTTTCTTAGTGTGTTTCTACTCCATACACATGTTAGTCCTGCAGAGTTGGTTCTATCGAGAACCAAAATTGCAACATTGGTAACATTTTTCAGATAGTTCAGTTCACTTTCACAATGCACTGCATCAAACTAACCAAATCTGTTCCCCCTCCTTACCTGTTGTGGCACTGCACCAAGAACCAATGAAGGAAATGACACAAAATCCTCGGAAAAAGAGGATTTTTCAGAGGAAAATCCTCTTTTTCCTCTGAAAAAGAGGTGTGCATTCACACAATCAAAAACAACCAGAGTTTGATTAAAGTGCACTAAAGAGGGCTGGTGTGAATCCATTCTTACAACCAAGTTTGAAATGCAGGCGTCTTCTTTCAGCCAGCTGACTACCAGTGTGCAGCTTTCTCCTTCATCTTAAGACATTAAGACATGGGAACAATATGCTGAGAAATGTGGTTTTAGAAGTGTATCTTTTTAAAGCCACAGAAGCAGAAATTAGCAAATGGCTCCTCCAGTCAGGAGTTTGAGAAACACAGTCTACTTAACCATCCCTCCATTTTCTAGCATCTTTGTCCCTAGTAGGGTCAGAAGGAGTGCTGGTGCCTATTTCTAGCCAACATTTCCAGGAAAAGGCAGAATACACCCTGGACAGGTCGCCAGACTGTCGCAAGTCTGCTTACCAAACCGCTAATATTCAATAAGGTCAATCAGATCAGCCTTTTGATGTTTTAAGATGTTTTTAGAATTCTGAAAACAAACATTTAAAATATAAAAATGTTTTTAAAATAACAGAACCAGCAGGATTTACATCCATCAGCCTTTAATGCACGTGCAATGAAGAACACGTGGAACTACTACTGCGGTTTGTCACCACCGTCAGTGACACGACCTACCATTCCTCTGTAAACACTGTCAGTGACCAGTGGCAGACACCCTATAAAGGCCATTTCACAATAAGCTGTGTACTCTAGTTGTTCGTCACACTGTTCTGAAAGTTCTAGCACCAAAATGAACAGAAACTAAGACAAAAAAAACAAAAAAAAAACTGAAAGTTTCAGATCATCTGCAGACAAAAAAAAATATTGCTCAACACTGGCCCTAAGTTCTCTCCCTGTGGTCTCATCCATCCTTTATGAGCATGCATGTCAATAATACGCACCTGCAACTGTTCCCACTGGGCCTCAACCTCACAAGGCACTGTACAAGCGTGCTGCGAAGAGTCATAACTAATCTGTTCTCGCCCCCCTCGTAACCTCCAGCAGCTCTCTTGGTTTCACAAACAAATGAGTTCCCAAACATCTGCTGGCCCTCTAGGTTTGCATGGACACCAACATTTAGCAGCTGATGCATATGTTGAAGTGTTGCACATCAGGGACATCTGCTTCACAGTTTATCAGCTCAGAATGAATGCAATTTACAAAGGCTCAATTAAAGCAACGGTTAAAATAATACACACCCTTCCATTTCCTCATTCTGTGTGTTACACAGAAATAGCATTGCAAAATAAGGGTTGCATAATACTGCAGAACTAGGTATAAAAAACCTCTTCACTCCTGTTCCTGAATCTAAATTTTCAACCTTTTTTTTTTTTTTTAACTGAGGTCAGCTTCAAAAGGGACTTCAATGCTTGTGTTATCATCGTCCGTGGTCAGCGGAGGGTCACCACGCCTTGCAGCCTGTTGCTTGGCAAACCAAACCAAATATAGAGCCGCTCAGAACTGTCAGCTTTCTCTTCAAGTTTCAACAAACATTTTAAAAGAGCGTGAAAAAAAGCCTTGTGGTCAAAGTATGAAACGGCAACAACAAAAACATCAAGGTAAAAAGTGAATTTCTTGTAGAAGCAACCACATTGTCTGCTGCCATCAGCAATTTCTGCAGCTTGCCTGAGTGCAGAACAAACCAACACAGGAACCAAGAAAAAAATATATTTTCACACATCTGTGTATGTCATGGGAAGTGCATACTGGCAACAGCTTCAACTAATCAACAAATATATCAAATTTGTTGATTAAAAAACATATCTACTTTTTCTTTAGATGTAGCAATTCAAAATATGTTTGCACTGAACACCGAGTGTGTAAAATTGACCTCTGTGTCGTTTCGAGCAATTATAAACTTACCACATTTATGACACCTATTAACCATTAAATTAAGTTTGTCTAAGTATGAAGTTATTGATGCGTCAGGCTTTTAAAGGAAGAATTGTGTCAACTGTGACGGATAATACTGTCGAAAATAACTTTTCTTCTCTAGAAATCCCAAGAAGTTTTTCTCAGCATATATAGTTGGACTATCATTTGTCACCCACATTACACCTGCTTACTCTAATGGGCTAAGAGAAGAACCCGAGACATGACAAGGGATTTTAAAGCCACTCTAATCTGCTGCTTAGCTGAGCTGGTTTACTCATGTAGCATTGAAGGGTCTCTGCTCTTCAATGCTACTTGGCTTTTAAAGTTTTGGCTCATTTTCAACATGTTAATTACTTTTGATCAAAATTAAAGCCAAGACATCAGATTACCAATGCTTTATTCCAACCATCAAAAACCAAGGTGTTAATGTACTTCATAGAGTGCATACCCAATACGACATTACTTCAATTTGAATGAACTTATAGATGTTTTTTGTAAATGGCCACAGGTCCATCGTCTGTTGTCGTGAATTCAGTCCTCGTAAACAGAAGGTATACACATTATCAAGGTTTCAAAGTATGAATGACCAGGCCTTTACAGGGTTGTAAATTATTTAAATCAAACCTCAAGTGTACACAACTACATACCACAGATTCCACCTATTCATTATTTATTGAACACTCAAAACAAGGCACATGTTAAGTATCAAATGCCTGAAGAAATCAATGTAACAGTGTAATGCAATATAACTGAAAATTCTGAAATTAGGGGGGTAAAAACTTTAAAACTAAGTGATTATTAAGAGCTGCACTGTTTTGAATTTTTTATGGTTGGCACCAATTTCTAATTGACTTTAATTAGGGACTTTGGATCCTTTAACTATATCTTAATATAGAGAGCAGAATTAGTTTCAAAAATTTAAACTTTCTATTATTATTATATTAAAATTTCCCCAAGAAGTCACCATGTGCTACTTTTACAACGAGCATCCCTCAAAAGCACCTAAACATCCTTCAGGAGTACAACTGTGACTTGTGCACATGCATCAAGTTGTTGAATTCAAGTGTTGAGATAAGCAAGCCTTTAAAACATCATATTGACATTAGTAAACAATTAATGTTGAAATAGGACTCAAAATTACCTAAGATTTTCCTAATCCTGATCAGCAAATGGGCTTTACTGGATTTAAAAATAAGGGTAAACTTTTGATATCCATTGTTTGTGTTAGTTGAGGGCCATTGTGTCCAGTACTACTGAAACAATAGTCACAAATCTGTATACAAAATCTTGCATCTGTTATCAAAAAGGAACCTATCAAAAGTTCTAACCTTGACTGTGTATTTTTTTCTATAATATCACATGGTGTTGGGCTGTCAGGTTTCAAGATTTTACTATTCTAAGCCGATCTGAGTTTGTTTGTTGATCACTGCAAAAAAAAAAAAAACACTGATGGATTAAAGGGCAGGTTAAGTGATGATGGAAAGAAACATCGAGGTTATCACGACATCACAAATGTATATGTTTCTAATAACTAAAAGCACAAGTGAGTGGCAAAAAAATGAATGTGATGAAATTGCACAGCTGTAAGGACAAAAGGTTTTCCGTAATGTCCTGGAACTCCACAGATAAAAAAAACAACAAACGTATCTACTCATGTTTTAATGCGTCAGAGGAGTTGATTTTAGACCCCACAACTTGTCAAATGAATAGTTTAGCAAGCTAGCTAACGTTCGTATTTAGCTAACCGCTGTCAATACGCAGCATATGGACTGAATTTTAGCTTCATTGAAGCACAAACATTTTTATGAAAACGTCCCAAAGTAGAAAAAATAGTCCCACTATAAATTGTTTAGTCGACAATAATAACCTCATCCCGTCATCCAGTTAGTTTATTCGGCTAGCTTTCTTACCTTTCGGGGACCAGCGTAGAAAAACAAGGCTAAAATGCAGCACAGTAGAGCCCGTTTTCGCACTGGCCAGTCCATGTTAGCATCGGGTCTCAAACCGGGACAGACTGGCTGGCTGGTCCGGGGCGGCTGGACGCTACATAGAAATTTCGTTTCTGACTTCCACAGACAGATGGGTCGAAATGTTTGCTACAGCGTTGGTAGAGATGCTTCTTCCTGAAATTAACACTGCGGAGGTTGGACTTTTGGATTCATATCCACAGGAGTGGAGGAGGGGAGGGACGCCATAGGCCTCTCAGCCAATGAAAACGCGCCTCCACACACCGGATGTGCTATAAAAAAGCAGCATTTACATCCGGGGCCATTTTATTCCGCAAGAGTACGCGCTGCACTTATCATGTGCTATTAGCTGAACCCTAAATTTTGTAATAACTGAGTTTAAGTATGTCTCTCCAGCTACTTGCATTCATTTTGGGTATTAATACGGATGTAACGTGAATTCAAGCTTGAACAAATTACATGTACGCGCTTTGTAAATGAGCACTAGCAGCTCACGTGGCAGCAGCGTGGGCAGGCCGCGAACCATGAAGGTAAGACTTGTCTACACGCTTTTTAAGTGTTTTCATATCACGAGTGATGATGTTTTTGTGCGTTAGACTTCTGATATAAAAATGAAGTCAATCTTTAAAATCTGACATGGTTCTACTGAGAAAAGGCTGTACTCTGTCCCAAAACTAAAAACACTGAATAATATGTGTATTCTTTCAGGAGCAGGAACCACAGATCACCAAAATAACATGGTAAGTAATGCTTATAACTCGCAAATCATAATTGTCATAGGTGACTTCGGTGTTAACTTTTATTTTTCTTACAGGTTGTGTGTGGCTCATCAGATGGAAGGTGTCTCGCCTTGAACTGAAGCAAGTTTCCTATGTTGCACATAACTTTACAATGCATATTCATAATAAAGAAAAATATTCCCTTCTACCTGTGTCTGAATTTGATTTCTTTAAACCAATGTTTGCACTTTTTGAACTGGAATGGCCCCTTCCTTAGCCACATCCAGTAGTGAAAATAAGTGCTACATTAAAGTCTTGTCATAACTGGGGTTTCGTGGCATTTTCTACCAAGATGCTCTTTTAAAGCAAGACACAAACGTTGCATATTCTCTACAAATGGAGAATGTTTGCGTTGGTTCAAACAGATTTAATTCAAGGATATTTTTATTGTCATATCACCTTGCTTGTTTGTGGTATGAGATTTGGTCTCGGGTCCCAGATTAAGAAATTTACATCAAAAAATAATGTACCTGTGATATTTGAATAAAATAAAGTGACTTTTTAAAGACATTCACTATTAAGAACCTTTAATTACCACTGCAATCAACACAGTAAATGAAGCTCATTGGTAGAAATAATTTCTTACCAAGGCAGGGCGTTTCAGAATGGTAACTTAGATATGTAATTTTTCTTCTGTAGCTATTGAATGTGAATTAAAAATTGCTGATTAGGCCCAATTTTTTTCATCAGTGTTTTGATTTTGGAGACGGTTTTAGGTCTAAATTTGACTGGCAATCAAAAACATACAAGTTATCTATGGTGTTGTGAGACGGTACAGTTCTAGTAAAGTTCACGTTCACACATTGAATATTATTTTACTTTATGGGGCTCTAAATGTTTGCAACAGTCTTTTTTGGATGTCATAATGCAACAAATTATTACAATGATTTTTAAAAAACTGCACAAGTTTGACTTTTTCTCTACTCCACATGTAACTATACTTGCAGATATCCAGGAATTACTCCTAAATTCATGCATTTTGTATCCCTCAAGAAGCTTTTTGAATAATGGTGCAAGATATTTTATAATATTCTCTATAGATAACATGTAATATTGCACATTTTAGTATTTTTTTAACCATAAATTTGTGAAATTTCTAAAATTATGTCCAATAGCAAAATTATTTTTATTTTTAACTTGAAAGAAATTAAATACTTTTAGAACCATGTGATACAAAATTTGTTTTATATTGACAATTTAAGGCTGCTGAACCAGTATATCTCCATAAACCAAACCACACATTTGATGTATTGCTGAATCGCAAGATGTCACGTGTGTTTGCATGCCTTGCTGCCCAAACATGGGTGCACATCTTGAATCATTTCTCACTTTTTTCCCCCAAAATCAAGACATTTCTTTTCCAAATAAATTGTTTTTATTGATCCACAATAAACAGAACAGTAGCATTTCTGCAATATCACAGAACAGAATAGCCTGATATCTTGGTCAATGTGCAAATGAACTGCAAAGAAAGGTGAAAAACAACAGGCATGTCTTAAAAGACGGTAATGGCACAAGAAGAGTTCAATAACTAATGCAAGAAATGAAGTGGATCACTATGAAGGAATGTTTGATTATCTCAAAGGCACTTTCTGCCTCATTTGTTAGCCAACACACATCTATTTGAACATAAAAAATACATAAAGTCACCTCTGAAGCAGACAGGAAAAGTTTCAGGGGTTTCTAAACTATTGGTGGCGCTGCTTTTTAAAGACAAATAACAGAGCAGCAAATAAATGAAAATGAAACGGCATTCTTTAGCTGTATGACTGCAGACAACACTAAATAATATGGCTGATATCCAGAATGCTGTTTATTTCAATAAAACTAGATTTATTACACCCAAAACTTCCAGCTCTGCGTTGCTGCTTGAGGTTTCTGTTTCCTGCTGTACAGAAAGAGTCTCACTGATTTATCCTCATTTTCAATTGCAGTTGTTGAAACACTGGCTGTGCGTCACCTCAGCGAAAGCAGAAAGTTTTTAACAGATTGCTTTTATTTCACACCTTCTATATTCCCTTTGGCAATACAAAAAGAAAATTATTACTTTTAGTCAACTCTGGATGTAGCTTGAAACATGTTGCTCAGAAACATGTTGTCAGTGAAAGTGTTTGCTTGGAGAGCTGAGGAGTTCCTTTTATTTATACATTCAAGATACCAACAGAGCTTGAGTCATTTTGTTTGCCTCATTTCCTACAACCAGCCCATTTTAGCTCAAATTTCTATTCCACAGTACAAAGCACACTAGCTGTATGATAGCATAGTTGCCATGATGGATTTTAATGGACCACCTGTGTACTATGAAACCATTTATAAACCATGGATTGGTTTGCATATATGTACCAGAAAGCAATGTGGTCTGCTGATAAAAGAATGGTATGAAAAGTGCAGTGGATCTAAAAATGTTCATACCCCTGTTGGGATTTGTGATGTAAAAAAAACCAAAACAAAAAAGGAATCGTCTCCAAACTTTGTCCACCTTATGTACAATTTCACTGAAACAAACTAATAACTCTTGGGAAAATTAAGAATTTAAAAAAGTGCAATAACTTGGTTGCAAAAGTATCCAGACTATTATATTACTATTTTGATGCAACTTTTGATTTAGCCGACTGATACGAGAAACCAACCAGACAACTAACACAATTTTATCTGTTTTTGCACATTTTTTAAAAATGTTTTACCTCAAAAAGATCTGAATTATTTTCAGCCGAATTGTACAGCATAAACAATGCATAAAGGTGGAATATTTTTTTGTGTTGCAAAATCTTACACCTTTGCAATCCACTGTATGCTTGATAAGTGATCGGGTCTAAGGAAACTCCTCAAACGGGCATTTTTAAAAAAATATTTTATCCTTGGTCTTCATAGGTGGCCACAGTTCTAGCAAATCCTCATAACAGTAACAATAAGACACTCATCATTTAGCAACTTCACAGAAAAAGTTAACACTGTCCAACAATCATGTTAGGTACAGCTACACATCACAGGTTATATGGTTCCTCTTGCTGTCTCAGGATGGCTATTTGTTGTGTTACAGTATCCTCCACACTTACTGGTAAGGAAAAAATAAATAAAAAGAACTGCACCTTTTATTGCAGCAGCACAACATCTCTGAAAAAAAAAATAAAACAACAAAAAAATGTATTTGGGTAAAAGTAAATAGGTGGGGGTGACACTTATTTACTTTTCTTCCATTAACAATTTACACAACCTTGACTTTACAGTCCATTTTTAGTTTTCTGGCAGGACACTCCAGATTTCTATATACAACCTCTTAGCATTTCCAGCTTGAATGGGCTGTAGAAGGGAATAGACCCACTGTGTCACATGTCCACCCCCTTGTGTAAGAATGTGCATGAAATGCATTTTAAGATATTCAATTTTTGTGTCATGCCAAATCCTCATGAAGTGTTTGCCAAAGAAAAAAAATCTTATTAGACCAAGCACATAACTCCAAATAAGTGTGTATATTCTGACAGGACAGAAAAAGCTTCTTCCCTGCAGTCCTTTGAAACAACTGGTTGACATCTGCATGGGGTCTACTGGTTGGGACAAAGTCTTGGTAACCCCAAAATGTCACCATTTGTTGCCCTGGTTGAAGGGGGTTAGTTCATGATAAGACATTTTCTTTCCCTCCCTTACAATCCGACTTACGGTGTTGTGGCAAGAAATGGAAGATCATCATCCATTCTCATGAACATTTCCTTTTGTCTCAAAAATTTTAACATTTCTCTCATTGTAGATATTGATGAATTAAGCAGAGTTGGCATGTCTTTAGCTATGCAGATAAAAACATCCCGGTCACATACTATAATGAGATGCTTTCTTGTCTTTCCCATTTTGAAAAGTACTTCAAATGTATATTCTTTTGTGTCAGATGTCTTACATAGACACAAAAGTCTCGTCATACTTACCAAATGTTTCTAAATACTGATCAACCTTTAAAAGTAAAATGTAAAGTGAGAAAAGAATGTTAGTTACTTTTTTAAGGGAAGTGTCAAATATTGTAGCACCAATTATTTTGTGAGGGTTTTTTTTTCTTGTCTTGTCAAATAGATGCTTTCAAATTAAGGGTTGGATTTTTCTGGAGGTTTTCAGCATGGGATTATGTAACAATAGTAATAGATAAATTACATTATTGTGAGGTTTTTTCTCATTTTACTTGTCATTCCAGTAATTGTGGAGGTTGCTGTATTTTAGCTTGACCCGCTTCATCAGACTGAACGAATACTGAATGTCATAAACAGACCAAAGAAGTGTAATCAGATGGTAACAGCGTCACATTCTCCTTCTATTCTCCTGCTTTCATTTAAAAATAAAAGAACTCATCATCTTGCTTTTAAGTTTTTTTTTGGATGATTGTTTTTTTTTTTTGTTCTTTTTTTTGTTTTGTTTTGTTTTTACTGTTAACCATCTATTGAAACAGTAGCATTGAAAAACAAAGAAATTAGAACTGGCCAGGGCTGCAGCTGCACCTTTAGTTTCCAACAGATGTTTTGGGCGTCCTGAATCATCGTATCATGAAATGCCTGCCGCCCCACATTTGAACAACTTTCACACATCAGAGAACTCAGACTCTTCCGGCTCTGGATCCTTCAAGGCATTGTTTGTCACAGTCAAGTTGGCATTTGAGCGCATATCCATGGCAGAGTGCATTATGGGTAGCCATATGTCATCCATGTTTGGCATCACAAATATTTTCTGCAGGAGAAGAAAGACGATTAGCTCACACACAAAAAACGAAAGAAAAATGAATTTTCAAATCCTGCTTTGTTGCCTCTAAAACACAAGATAGATTTAAAATAAATAAATAAAAAACCAGATGCTCATCCACAACACACAACCATGTGCAGCACAGTGCTATATTTTACTGGCGCCCTGATTGAAGGGGGTTGTACATAATAACAGCCCTTGAAGAGACAGGCAGAGGTAAATGTAGACATGTGGTGAACATAACAGAGACCCTTAGCAGTTTGCATTCACATACCAGGCATATCATTTATCTGGTTGTGATGATTGGTAAACAGTCAAGACAGACAGAGAGCTTTTAAATGCTTCTAGAAGCATTTATAAGTGAACTAAACAACTCGCCTCTTGAGCTTGGAAAATTGAGTTTTGATTACCTGGAACTCCTGATCCAATTTCTTCTCGATCCACTCCGTCACATGAACCAGAGTGACTTCTCTCTCACCCAGTTTGGGTCGTGCTTTCAGCTCCAGATGGGGAGGACTCCGAAAACCGTACCTGAAAATCAAATGGACATATTTTTCTTGTCACAAGTTGTTAAAACGTTTAGGTTACAAGATCTTTGACTGACTTTTCATATCTATTGATATATATGACTAACAGAGTGATGCATAATACTGAATTGGATCAAAAAACACGCTGTTGTTGCTGCAGTTGCATTCATATTTTGTGAACGTATGCGTGTCTACAGGTGTCCAGCAGAGGGCGCACTGTTATGCTCTTATTCCAAGACTCCCACTCAATCCCAGCCCACAATAA